ATTGTGGAGATATGGGGTTATGGGGATTCAAGGACTGGGGAGAAATGGGGGAAACGGGAAGAATCGGGCCTCCGGTAATCTTGCTTATAAAGCTGTAATTGTTGCACGCCAGTTTTTTAAAGTAAGTTAAAGTTTTAGTAAGTTCGAGTTGTTACTCCCAGTCGAAGCCGGTCCATTCGTGCTGCAGGCTCTCTCACACTTCAAACACACTTAAATGAAATCTATAGAGAAAAACCACAAAAATTTTTTTTCACCGTAGCTTGCGTACATCCTACATAATTCACGATTCCAACCAACTCAAACGGTGCAGGAGCAAAAAACTAAATCTCCACTCCGCATCACGACCATGACCTTCAAATAGAGCAGTATGCAAATATCTCAAGGTTAAACTTGTTACAAACAGTTAAACATCCTATTGTAGTAGAAATAAGGTTGAATTAGGTTAATAATAGTAACAAAATCAATTTAAACTTTATATGAATTTTTATTTGTTTTTCAATCGGAGTTCCACAGGGTACTATTGTTGGCCCAATGCACATAAATGTACTATATATAATGTGTTAAGGATTTGAAACTTAAACAACTGATGTGCCGGAACGGTAATCTAAACGAGTCATCGTTTAAGATATAGTGAAGGGAGCTTGTACCCTTTTTACAAAATGCAATGTATACTTAGAATAGAATAGAATAGATAAGATATGTGTATTACTTTATGTTAACTTTTAGTTTTAGACCCTGATAATTATTACGAAGTTCCTAAAATAAATAAAGATGTAAATATTATCAACATGCAGTCGCATGTGATTATATTTAGAATGAACCTGATACAACCACAGCGTTGTGTTTCACCGTGTGAATGAGGTTACCGAAGGCCCAATCCTTTCCCTAATCTATCCCAAATCCTTATATCTCGAAAACCCTCCCGAAAGGCTAGCAACGCGCTCGTAACTTCTCATGTCTGCATAAAATCTCATTGACCGTAACCTAATGGGCAGAAAGCCAGGAGGAATACAACAAGAGAATACAAACAACCAAAGAGGTCTAAAGCCTATCCAAGGTCTCGAAAACAAAGAATATTTCCTTCTATACTTAGGTCGATCATTTGCATTGTAATATTGTTTCCTTTGTTTTATTCTTAAGTAATACAATTGTTATGTGGACAGATTAATTGGATCGCGTTAAGGTCAATGATTGCTTTAATATATTGCTTCCGATTTTGGTGGGTAAGCCAAAAACATACATATTTTGCGTAAAAACTGTTTAATAAATTTCGTCTGGGTAGCTCTTTTGTTTTACATGAATACGCTCGACCAAAATGATACCACGGCCTGACAAAAACCAGGCAACACTTGCGATGGTTACCGGAGGCCAAACATTGCCCCCCACTAACGTTTATCCTCAATTCCACCAATTCTTAATCCAAAAAGGCCGGCAATGCACTTGCTGGTTGCTTACCATCAGGGATTTCATATGCCCCTTTGTCTCCTTATCTAAACAAACCTAACCTAAGATCCTCTATGTTTTTTTTCTTGTTAACATAATGAAAGATAATTCAATTTTAATATAATTGAGTAGCCTGATTGAGTACCTATCTGTATTAAAAAGTATGTAGATATAGATTTTAATACTAAGTAAGTGTACCTATCTGTTTATGTTATTGCGTACCTATCTGTATAACTTAAGTGTGGGAGAGCCATGCTTCGGCACGAATGGGTCGGCTCGACCGGAGTGATACCACGGCCTCACAGAAAACCGGCGTGAAACAACCCACAGTGTTGTGTTTCGCCGTGTGAGTGGGGTTACCGGAGGCCCAATCCCTTCCCTTTACCTATCCCTTCCCGATCCTTATATTCGCAACCCCTATCCCCAAGAGGATGGCAACGCACTCGTAAATCCTTTGGTGTTGCGGGTGTCCATGGGCGGTGCCGATTGCTTACCATCAGGTAATCCGTCTGCTCGTTTGCCGACTTATACCATAAAAAAAACGAATATTAGCCACAATAACACTTAAAACGGATACGTGACGACCGATTTATTTTTGCTTAACTATACTCGTAAAAACCGAAGCTAATATTAACACAACATGAAATCATAATTAGGGAATTCAGTTCATTAGAAATACCTACTCATAACGTGACGTTTGCTGACGCGGGTTGAGGATCACGTTCCGCCGGTCGGGCAAAACCGATGCAATCATTGAATTTAAAGGTCATAGTAATTTTATAGGGCTATAGGGCTCCGTGTATATATTAACATTAAATGTAAACATCATATTTTTCTATAAAAAATATCGGCAATAGGGTTTATTATTAATTAGTAGCGCGCGCGTCGCGGCGACGTTGCGTTGCCACCAATCAATCGACAGTGCAACGAGCCCCAGTGTTAGTCTAGTGAAACTAATGAAGCTTTCCTCAGTGTACTCACGTGAATGAGTGATAATCTACATATATGTGATAACATTGTGAGACATTTTCAATACATTGAAAAAAAATAATGTATTTGAAAATGTTTGTGTTATGTTTGCCATGAATGAATCAATGTTCAAGCGACAATACATATATGGTGAATACTCTCGCTCCGCGTCATAATGCGGAGCGAAGAACAGAGGAACTGGGACGCCGTCTCCTTCTTCTGTGAAGCAGTTATACTCGCAAAGAGGGAGGCGGCCCGCGTGAGGGAGCAATCCTCCCCCTCACGCCACAGGGGGGTTTTTAGTCAGTAAGAGTCTGACACTCCCACCCGGCCCTGGGCGGGAGAAGTCATTTGACAATACTTCCATTTCCAACCCCTTTAATACATGTAGGTTAACAGACAAGTGCAAAAGCTGTGTGATTTTCGTACATGTTGCGCGGAATCATGCAGTCATACATTTGGAACCGATTTGACCAAAACGATTGTTATCAAATTACTTCTCTCGCCCATGGTGAGGTGAGAGGGTGTGTCAGACTTCTACTTACTCAGAACCTTCCTTCAAAACGTTCTTTCTCCTGCTCCAGGTCGAGGGCCCTTATTGCACTTGCCCCGCAAAGTCGGCTAAACATCGACCCGAGTCTAGTATTAATAGTAGGTATATAAATCGTTGTTAATTGCAAATTATGTGACCTATAAATATAAAATACGCTTTGCTTTTCCACGAATTGTATAATGACTAGGTACGCCCTCATTTTACCCAGATATTAGAAGTTCTATTAAAATAAGGGACAATCCTAATGCCTAATACTAGAACACTATAACAGATCATGCTTTCTTCTTTAATCCCAACTTTGTCTCTATATAAAAGGTCTCTTTTTTAATAAAACCATAAACACCCTTTACCATAGACACATCAGCGTACAACAATATTGCTTTACTATAAAGTATTTAATGATTAATGGTCATCATCATTCTGTGGTCACAGATCATTCAATAACTAATTATAAAATCACTGTTTTAATAACCTGCATTCTTAGTATTTTCCCGTGTTCATACGTTTCCTGGAGAAGATGATAAACTAGATGATCGGAATATGCGGAAAGGAAATGACTTTGCTATTTTAAGTCAATACATATATAATATTGCAATTGATTTTCCATATTGTCGTGATCCATAGGGCCGATGTTCAGCCGAGGTTGCGGGGTAAGCGCAATGAGGCACCGCGACCTCGGCCCAGAGCAGGAGAAGGAACAGAGGGGTAACAGTCTGACACTCCCTCCCGCCCGACCCTGGGCAGGAGAAGTCATTTGATGATTTTCCCCTCATAAAAAAAATATATTGTCGTGATGGCGAAACCTGACAGGTACCAATGAGACTTTTTCCGAGATGATATATATGTGTATTTTCTATGATGATTTAGACACCACTGACATATGGTAAAGGAAAATATCGTGGGGAAACCTGGACTTGTAATTTCTAATTATAGGAATAGCCAATCTACCTTGAGCAAGCGTGGTGATTAATGCTCAAACCTTCTCCGTGTGAGAAGAGGCCTTTACTCAGCAATGGGCACTTATAGGCTTATGATGATGATGAGTTCATTTTCCACAAAAATTATGTGAAGGATATATTTTTTATTTGTAACAGCATTTATGGCCAGACTATGTATATTTATAACGTGATAGAAATCAAGGAGCCATAAGATCACTACGGCTGATGTCTAGCAGGAGTTTCGGCAGGAAAAATAATGTACCATGCCCCGGCCTGAACACAAGAGAATAATCAAGGTGGTTTTAGTCAGAAATACTCTGACAGTCCCCCTCTCGCCCCACCTCTTTAAAAAGATACGTATCAACCACGACATAATCCTTATTCATCCTACAATTCCATTTATGCACTATTCGTTAACAAAAAATCTCTAAAACATAATTCCAAAAACAGTTTGAAAAGTCGAAAAAAACCCGAAAGTATACCTACAATCGGTACACAATCTCATTTGCATACAATGCCAAACAATACGCATTGTGACATTCAAATCTGGTAATACCCATACAGTTAAGTCCCATTAGCTGAACAAAAAACTTACTCAGCGTGAATCGGACTGGGTTGTTAGGAATTGCGTTCCGTATCATGATATAAAAACAGTTTATATATGTCACCGGAAAATAACAAGATCCGTAAGTTTATCAATTTACAAGGATGTTTACAAACTTTCGTAAGATTCTAAACGGGAGATAAATTGTAATAATTTACGTCCACATTTTCGTAAATTGATAAACTTGCTGAACTCACTCGTAAAATAATAAGTAAGTAGTAACCAAACGCTACGCGCGGTCTGATTGGTTGGCTGTCACGTGTCACTTCTCCTTCATTTCTGTCGTTTTATTTAAATAGAGAAAAGTAGTGTACATTAGTGTGTTTTATAAGAGTATTCCCGGGCGCGAGGGAGTGTCAGACGCTTACTGACTAAAAACCCCCCTGTTCCTTCTCCTGCTCTGGGCCGAGGTCGCGGTACCTCATTGCGCTTACACCGCAACCCCGGCTGAATATATTCCATAGGATGACATGCCCTGGCTAAGGGCCTTAACATGGAGGCTACTGTAGAGATTAATCCAGTTCCGCCGGAACTATGGGGCAAGCGCAGGAACCATGGCCTCAGCCTAAAGCAGGTGAAGGAACAGAGGGGTTTTTAGTCAGTAAGAGTCTGACACTCCCTCTCGCCTTTCTCGATGGTCGAGAGAAGTTATTTGATGATTTTTCTCTCACAATAAAGGGGAGTGCTATGCTTTGGTACGAATGGGCCGACTCCTCGGCATGAATGGACCGCCTCGCAAAAAAACCAACGTCAAAAATCACTTATGTTGTGTTTCGCCGTCTGAGTGTTCTTGGAGACCCTATCCTTTCGGTCCTTGGTGACGACGATAGCTTTCCACCAGGTGATATATCAGCTTGTTGGCTGAAAAATTAATTAGGTTGGTTGGTTGGCCGATATGTAAAAAAGTTTGTGACAAAAAACGGATAAAGAAAGTTAAAAAACAATTGGCATCCGTTTACAAACGGTACTCCAAAAATTGGAAACCATCACAAAGTCTCCAAGACCAGTTGGATAAATATGGAACTAAAAATTTGGAACAAAATTACGACCTGAAGAGTTTTTGCAAAGACACTAGCGACACTGTCAACGGTAATCATATGTTTGTTTTACAAAACAGTTCAGTCGCAAAGAAATAATACAGAACGAAATTCGATTTTGATCCTTATTTCGAGTGTTTTAAAGGTGGTTTTTAAAGCTATGGAAATCTAGTACAGCAAGCCCGTATTGTTTTGTGATTGTTTTAAAATGGATTTTTCGTGGCCATTAGCTCATTAAGGTCGGTTATAGATCAAGATAACAATGGATTTCACATTGTATTAAAAAACTTTCATAAAGTCAGTTAAAAAATCCGAGTTGCCACACAAAAAATGTGGGTTAGTTTATTAGGTTTCCACCAGTAGTTCCCACCATCGCCAGTTTAGCGCTAACTAGATGGCGTTAGTGTAGCATATGATCTTGTTTCCCCAAACACATCATCGGCCTATAAGTGCCCACTGCTGAGCAAAGGCCTCTTCTCAGGCGGAGATGGTTTAAGCATTAATCACCACGCTTGCTCAAGGCAGATTAGCGATTTCAAAATTATAATTAGAATGTTAAGTAAAGGTTTCCTCACGATGTTTTCGCCGTATGTCAGTGGTGTCTAAATAATCATTGAAAAAACATATAACACGGCAAAAGTCACATTGGTACTTGCCAGGTTTCAAACTAACACCCTCATGCATGCTCATTTTGATACCTACATTAGTTATATCAAAGCAAATATAATGCATATATCAAAAATGAAAAAACCAAAAGACGGCAAGACAAGCCGGGATGCCCTCGAAAAAGTCGGCAGCTGAAAAGTTTTCAAGTTCTAGTCTAGTCATTGAATCATTAAAACTTCAATTACCTACAACTCTAGGGGGCGTGTCCTTTACACAAGGCACGATCCTACAAAGACGCCATACTATTATTATGCAGGCAAATCAAAATCGTAAATAATATTAATGTGGGGAATTTCTCAATTTTTTTTTTTATTATTATACATATTTTTGGTGCTTTGTAGGGCATAACCATAACGATTAGTACAATACCGCCAACGTATCTTGGCGAGTCTGAAGTTAGCCGATTAGCTGCGCAGTATACAATTTTGTTTCTAAAAGATCCATTGTGCAGACAAACGGCTAACTTCAGACTCGCCGAGATACGTCGGCCGTACTGTACATCAGAAGAGAAACACTTCTTAGCCGAGGTTTCCGGATAATGTACGATAGTGTACTGGGGGGCGATAATTTAATGTGGCCTCGGCTTGGAGCAAGAGAAGGATCGAAGTGATTCTAGTCAGTAAGAGTCTGACACTACCTCTTAACTCAACCTGATGGAGAAAAGACTATTGATGATTTTCCCCTCACAAAAAGCAACTCAAAAATTATACACCATAATTCGTAAACAATACTAATGTCGAGAAATTAATATAGGTACTTGTGCTAACACATCTAATATTTACCCACTAATCGTATTAGTCGTCGAATATTTCACTTCGCTGTTCGTTATCTAGAAAAAAAATGCCTTATCTGTCATTCCAGGCTTCCATTCTGTATGTGAAATTCCATTATGTGAAAGAGTAAAAAACATACACGCATAGTGGCAAACTTTTGATTTCCTCAATAACTGGACTATCTAACACAAAAAAAATACATTAAATTCGATCTAGCAGTTGCGTACACTATATTGTTCAAAACAACAAACCGACTACACCTTTATAACATTAAAATTATATATATATATATAGGTAATAGTAATATATAATATGTTTTACAAAAATACAAAATATCCTTTACCGCCCTGAACCGCCTTATAAACTGAGAAAAACCCAGGGATTCATAACCGGATGAATAGCAAAGGACACCTGCACACTTGTTTTTCCATTTGTTAAACGTACTAATCAACTAAGTGTGGGAGAGCCATCAGCCATGCTTCGGCACGAATGGGCCGGCTCGACCGGAGTGATACCACGGTCTCACAGAAAACCGGCGTGAAACAACCACAGTGTTGTGTTTCATCGTGTGAATGAGGTTATCGAAGGCCCAATCCCAAACTGATAAGTAAAAACAGATAATAAAGTTATTGCACTTGAAATTCAAGTAAATACATAAAAAACTTAGCAACCAAACAATGAAGTGACAAACGGAGTCAAGTTCAATGACCTCACCGTTCAATAGTGCGGGTGATTGCTTAGAATTTTAAACGAAAACCATTATGGCAGTCTCTTGTATAAATAGATACTTACTTATATGAAGATCTGTCTAAAGAACGCCATAGAAATTACCTACATACGTGTTTTTCTCATTTTCTGATGTAGACAAAAGAAAGGCTTCTATACATATTAGGTAGTCTAAAATCGTCTTTCCTTTGTCCATTAAAATAGGAAAGTTCACAAGGGAGTACCTACCAACAACCAAAAGTATCACATTTCCAGCCCTCAAGGTACTGCTGAGCAAAGGCCTCTTCTCACGCGGAGAAATTTGGTTAGAATTGGCGATGTCAAAATTATGTTTAGAAATTATAACTCAAGTTTTCCTCGCGATGTTGTCCTTCATCTTTCACCAGTGGTGTCTATATAGTATCTAAATACACTTAGAAAGTCTGTAGAAGTTAGAATTCACATTGTTAATTTCGAGCACCCTCATGCATGAGAAGCTGGAGCCTTAACCTTCGGGCTACCAAGACCGAGACGCTTTAGTATCGCCGAAATAACCGTTATTTTTTTGAAATGGGACAAAAAAAGAACACACCTATTACATCACATCACATCACATCACCAGCTATAAGTGTCCAATACAGAGCAAAGGCCACTTCCCACAAGGAGAAGGTTTGAGCATAAATCATCACGCTAGTAAGGCGGCTTGGCGATTTCAAAATTGTAATGTCTTTGATGTTTTATGTAGGTATACCGTAAACAATCGCCACTGCCCATGGGCAGCCACATAACAAAAGGAATCTCAAGTAGTTTACCGGTCTTCTAGGACTCTAGGATTTGTAAACTCGAGGATTTGGAGATGGGGCAAGAGGATTTGGCCTTCTACAGTTTTACCTAATTCGAACCGACAGCGGAAACCTATATAATTTAAGCAAAACACAATATAGTGACATATTTTTATAGTATCTAATATTTATTTGATAATCGACGACCCCTGACCTAAATAATGATGTTGACATTCTGATTAACTGATTCACAGACAATCTATACTAATATTATAAAGAGGTAAAATTTGTAAGTTTGTATGTAGGGGGTAATCTTTTGAACCGGTGGCCCGGTTTCCAAAATTCTTTCGCTGATCGATAGCTACAATGTTCCTGAGTGCATAGCCTATAAAACATCACGCTACGACTAAATGGAGTCGAGCAGTGGGTGAAACTGCGCGAGAGTAGCTAGTGATGAATATAAACAAAAGACCTAATAAAGGTCACATAGCTGGTCGGAGGTGGCTCCCAACCAATTTGACACTTTTTATTTGATACGGTAAAAGAACAAACTGATTACCTGATGGTAAGCAATAACAGAAAAGTTGCAAGTTTTGTTTTTGCTACGAAATAATTTAATTGTTGTATTTGAATCTAGGTGTGGGATGGTCCTCCCAGCTTTGGCACGAATGGGTCGTCTCGACCGGAATGATACCACGGCCTCACAGAAAACCGAGGTGAAACAACCACAGCGTTGTGTTTCGCCGTGTGAGTGAGGTTACCGGCCCAATCTCGCCTCTTCTTCCCATCCCTTCCTAATCCTTAAATATCTGCAAGCCTTATGGCCGGCAACGCACTCGTAACTCCTGTGGCGTTGCTGCCAATTGCTTATCATCAGATAATTCGTATGCTCGTTATCTATCACTTAAAAAAATTAGCCTCCGCTAACCTCATAAACCCGGCGAAACACGTTGTTTCACGCCGTGTTTTGGACAATAGACCGTGTCAACGGTCGATCCGACCCATTCGTCTCGCATAATGGCTTTTTATAGGTATTTATTTTTATTGAATCCTTACTAAACATAATTGAACGATGAGATTATGCTCTAGGTCTCACTAAGTAATTTTGTAACTCAACTAACAACCTATTATACCGCGGCTTTATAAAACATTATTTTTATTTATTTATTAGCAACCCGTCCCTGTTTCGCACGGGTCCAAATATTTTGCCATCAAGGATTTCTTTTGATAAATTATTACCTTCTCCTAATAATAATAAATACAACAAAAAAGAATTGGCAAAATTGGTCCAGGCGTTATTGAGTTTTGCTAGCTTTTGCCCGCGACTTTGTTCCAAACTATGTCTGTACCAAATTTCACACAAATCGGTTCAGTAGTTTAGGCGTGTAGAAAAGACAGACAGACAGTCACACAGACAGATTTACTTTCGCATTTATAATAATAGTACCTATGGATATTTTTGGTAATATATTTAAGTAACGTAACGTGCGAAGCCAGAACCCGTTGGTAGTTAATAAAACAAATCACATAGGTAATATCTACAAGATACAATTTCTAAAATGTTAACTACTTATTATCAAAAACATTATTAGGTACTTATGTCACTGACCATTCAAAACATAACATATTAATTTGGACAAAGTAACATCTCTATGCATTGCAAAAATGAACTCTAATTACGAAAACAAATGTGTCAAATTTTTATCGCTGTATTCAACTCAATAAAGGTTGAATTTGGTGTTAAAATATTAAACTAACAATGATTCGAGCTATGATTTTAAATAATAAATTGTATACCTATTGTGATAAGAGTCAAGATTATTAAGCAACATAATATGTAGATAAAAGTTTTTATGTAAGTAAACAGAAAAAGTGTAATCACAGCTACGCTTAATACAAAACCCGGTTGATGGAAATCGAGTAAATCGATCAAGAATTTAATGAGGAACAAGTTATATAAGCTTAACGACAGAACTAGAATTGATTTTGATATGAATTCATTTATACTTGACGCTGTTTATTATGTTTTAACTCATATGTAAGGACCGTAACACGACATGATGCGAAACGTCCAACAAAATGTTCAAGAATACCGGTTTTATACTTATTCACCTACCAACACAACTTGCTAGCATAACACAATTCATCAACCAGGAAATTGTACTTTACTTCAATACGACCAACGTTCAAAATCTAATGGACGTGATTATAACATAAATGTCTATAAATTAGTCACATTCCCGTTTCGCGTTATAGTTGTTCAGTTTGTTGCCAGACACGGTCGAGATGACAATGAAAGCGGTAGCGTTAGTGTTAGTTTTTGTCGGAACATGTTATTGTCAAGTTGAATTCAATGAACGACCTCGGAACTTCAGTATAGAGTTATTATACTACACGCAAGCAGAAACAGACGGCCATGTAGTGATATCACCGTTCGGAATATGGACTTTGATGACCGGGATTGCTTTGGGGGCGACGGGCAACAGTTACAACGAGCTCGCCAGGGCATTCATCCTCCCGAGGAATCAAAACACCCTCATTAAAGGATACAAGGATCTTACAAACGCGGTCCTCGCCCAAGGCAACAACGGAGTCAGCCTTACAAGCAGGAATTTCGTTTTCCTTGACAATGATTTCACCGTGTTCCCAGCCTTCAGAGGATCCCTGCAAAACGATTTTGGTGCCTCATTAAAAGTGCTTGATTTCGACGACCCCAATTCGGCTCGCATCGCCAACACATACATCGAGAAGTCAGGCGGACGCGTCTCCAATGTTCTACGATCAGACGACTTCCAAGAATCAAGAATGATATTAACAAACGTGATATCGTTTAAAGGACTTTGGGCTTCGCCGTTCAACAAATCCGATACAGTGTTAGAACCATTTTACGATGAAGATAAAAATGTGGTCGGTAGTGTGAATATGATGTTTCAAAAGGGACAGTTTGCGTTTTCGAATATGCAGTCTTTGAAGTCTTTTATTGTGGAGTTGCCGTACGGGACGAATGGAAAGTACTCAATGATAGTTATCCTGCCGTATCCTTCAGTGAAGATAGCTGATATGTACAAGAACTTTGCTCATGTGAGTTTGAAAGATGTATTTAAGAGGTTACAAGACGATGTTGATTCGTTTGGTATGGAGGATGTAGATGTGAAAATACCAAGGTTCCACATCAGTACGAATCTAGTGCTTAACCGGCCGTTGAACTCCATGGGCGTGTACGACATCTTCCAACCCGACCAGGCGAGTTTCCAACGAGTTTCCAAGGATAATATATTCGTGTCTGCGATCGTACACAAGGCTGATATTGAAGTTACTGAGTCGGGAACCGTAGCGTCGGCAACCACAACAGCAACTTTCTCTGATAGAATATCAGCACCGTATTTCCATGCCAACCGGCCATTCCTCTACTTCATTATGGAGAAAACAACCACAACTGTGATATTTAGTGGCATTTATTCAAAACCTACAGTTTACTAAGTTTAATACTCAAAGACTTTCGTAGTTTTTAAGCAAACAGTTTTGATGTCACGAACTTTTTTTATTAGTAAAGCATTTATTAGCAAGGAGGTTGTAATAGTGAATTTTATTCCGATTCTATGGACGTCAGATATTATTATTATTAGTCATTGTGTGTAGCCTTAACATTTGTGAGTCGTTTAATAAATTATAAGTGTTAATTAAAAATTGTTTTCCGTGATTTTTTCTTCCTTATAATGGACATGCCTCATACTTAGCAGCAGCTGTTTGGATACCAAAAGTATTATCTTGAAAAATATCCTAAAAGTAAAATCAGTGGTAAAAGAAAGTTACAGTGTGTCACAGTGAAGTTAAACGAAAATGTAACTAGTTTCTGTTTTTACTTTCTTCTCTTTTAGTTTTTAAAGATCTAAAAACTTCTATTACTTATGTGACTGCTAAAGAGGTTAAGTTCCATTGTATGCTGCATCATTGCTTATCACCAGGCAAGACAGTGACCAAAAAACGATAGAAAAACAAAACACTATTAGTCTTTCAAATGTTCAATACCTAGGAAACACACACACAGTAACTATAGACTTATTTAACATATATATAACTGTACTTATATATATTAAATAATCTCACTTCGTGTCTTACTTCTTACTAATACCATAAATGCGAAAGTTGCGATGTTTGGATGTTTGTTACTCAATAACACCAAAACGGCTGGCCGGATCTGGATGTTTGGCACTGGCATAGGATACACTCCGGAATAGACATAAGCTACTATGTTGTACTTAAAGCTAGTATTATATAGAGTAAATACAGTCTTCCCCTTTCTTTCAAGAAGAAAATCAAATATCATAATACGTTATAATAGGTCTAAAAAAAAACTTCAAATCAAAATAGTTTTTGTTAGGCTAAGGCTAATTAATTTTGTTTTAAAAACATGAGATTCTTTTTCCAAAAGTAGTCATTTGTTTATTGATTAGTGTTACATTTTCATCGCATTTCCAATAAAAAAATTCGTTTAAATATTTTCATGCAAAACGGCAATTTCATAGGTAAAGACCTATTATTATAAGTTTATCATAATATGAAATCTTTGGATATTAACTTGGGTAATACCTACCTACCAAACTTGATTATGATGAACTTATTCTCCTCTCAATTTATTACGTAAATAAATTGAGAGGAGAATAAAATTTGAGATTTAAAAGAGAATTTGAGATTTCACAGCACATTAGCACGATCCAAGATATTTATTTTTTACCTGAGTCTCCAATGATTCACTGTTTTCGTTGTAGTATCTTCGTGCGCCTAAAAATCTTGACCAACAGGATTTTTGGAGAAAGTCCTTCCAGTGGCTGCTGCCATAAAAACAAAAGACTACCTACATATATTATTGTCCTGACCCCTCGCTGAGTAACCACACTTGCGAGTACCAGAGGGCCTACCATTACGTGTTAAAGCGTCAATTTTCCGGGCGAGAAAGAGGGATGGAGCTATACAACTTTTATAGCTCCATCCCTCTTTCTCGCCATGCCATGGAGCTATACACCTTTTATAGTACCATCCCTCTTTCTCGCCCGGAAGATTGACGCTTTAACGCCTCATGGTAAGCCTACAGATCAAAGAGGCAGTGTAATTATAAACAACTTGCTATTGCCTCACGGTTTATCACGCTACTCAACTCCTTTTGCTTGTAGAAAGATATTCTTTTACCTTTTTAGCCATTCTTGATATATTAACACAATCACACAATATATCACAAAAATAACTGTGCAATTCATCACAGTAGTTTCGAAGATTTGCTAATCTCGTTTAAACAAACAAAGAAACTATTTAGCTTTATAATATAAGACAAGTATAGATATACTAGCTCAGCCTCGCCGTTTCTCCCGCTTTATATAGGTACAACTTTTTTTACTGAAAGAATTTTTCAAAGCATATACAATAACAAAAATCAATCTAGGTACTTATCTTTTTCACGGAAAATTTATGTGCCTTAAGGACCAGTCAAATCTCTCGGAGATGTTTCCATCTTGACTTTATTCTGTTTTGATTATCTACGCCTATAGGTAACGCACATATTCCAAAAATAAATTCCACCTCTTTTCTTTGAAAAATAAACTTAGTTTTATTTTGTCAACCTAAACCTAACATACCTAACTACATACAAACAAACAAACAATCAAATATCTTATCTTTATAACATTAGTATTGATGAGTAATTACTTTATTGGCTCATTACGTTATACGAGTAACTATAGACTGTAAGTAGTTAGCTATTTATAATAACATTAAGTGTAACCTTCAATGAGTTAATGATGTTTGTGTAATCTTCACGTATTTCCTATATCGTTTTTATTATACTAGGGACCAATGCATGGATATCCAATCAGTACGAAACCAAATTAAGAACATAAGTGTAAGCGTGGGAAAGCCTTACTTCGGCTCGACTGAAGTGATACCACGGCCTCACAGAAAACTGACGTAAATCAACCACAGCGTTGTATTTCGTCGTGTAAGGAGGCCCAATACTTCCCCAAACCATAAATCTCCGAACACCTAATCCCTAAAAGGCTAGAAACGTACCTCTAGTGTAGCGGCTGCCCATGGGCGTGGCCAATTGCTTACCATCAGGTAATCCATCTGTTGTTTTGCTGTTAACTTTTACCAGGAACTTATGAAGATAATGAAACAGGCCCTTATAAGATCAGCTAGTTATTGATTGACTTTGTAAGAAGTAAGTCTTATGGCTTTTATTAGTCACAATGCCCCAATCTACATAATAATATTTGTACCCAATGAATGCCAATAGACTTAGTACCACATGAAACTCATAATACTGTATATAAATAAGTGGCAAAAAGATTTTACTTTGCGATCAATCGACTCTGCTTGGCCCTAGAGGCAAAGACCGAAGCGAGATCGAAACGGAACTCTGAAAGAAGAAAAACAAAGTTGTAAACAAAAATATTTTTATTAAGTTTAAAAAAAAAAAATTATCTAAGAGTTCTAGTTATTTGGCAAACAAACTTTGCCAGTGAGCTTGCATTTGCAATTCAACTCTCAGTGACAAACTTTGTTGCCAAATCCCCCTATAGATTGTCTGAATTCAAAAATTGCTGCGCAGCAGCGTCGGCACGCGGAGCGTGTGTCCGTACACGAACGCGACTGCGGCAGCGCTCGGGTGTAGCGCGGACAACGAGTCGTGGTCGTGGCCGTGTGGGGTTCCCAATCTGTAGAACATGGCTAGTGGTGGTTGAAGCGGTTGTCACTTCCACTACCTCTGTGGGAAATGGAGTGGACTGATCGCTTCCACCATCAATTCACCTATAAAGAAAAAAAATTTAGAGTTGCTGTTTAGTTGTATGCACTCTTGATGAGAAGTAGTATCCATCGGAGTAAAATTGACATCCATAATTTATTACATCTCTACTTCTACCCTTACATCTGGTATGTTAGGTAGGTAATAATCACAGATGAAATATATATTCTCACTTCTCAGTTGTATTAAAAATTAGAAATAAATTTACCAATGTCCAACAGATTGGTTGGTAACTGGGTAGGTGTGGGTGATCCAGGCTGCAGTACTAGTGGTGGCACTTCCAACTCTACATGCTGAATCATTCTGTAAATAAAGGATATTTCTTACAAATATAGCCTGGGGCAATTTAGAGCATCTAGTCAGAGTATTTATAATTTAGCCCAAATTAAAAGAAACAACAAAATAAGAGAGATAACAATATAGGTAAAAGACTTTAAATATTCGTTAAGCAAAGCTAATGTATGCATTTCACAATTGAGTAATTTAATTACAAGTAAGCTTATTATGACTCACATAAACAGCAGAGAAGCAATATTACCTGAGGCACAGGAACTGTCTCATTAACTGAGACCATGCCTGTAGCAGCCTCCGGCCCCATCAGGCTGAGGACTCGCTGCTCCAGGTTGGTAAGGCATATTTTTAAAGCTGGGCCACCACCAGTACCGCTAGCTGCTCTTTTCAATTTAGCAGCCTTTTTTTTGTATTAGTTTTTAGGTCACTCCACACCTATTACATGCAAAGCAAGCAAACATGCTTATTAACTATTAAAATACAATGGCAAATGTAAAGCAAGTAAATTATTAATCACAGAATACTCTTGATATATACATAATCATTACCCTAATCAAGCAGCATTTCAAATCGAAATTGTCTCGATTGAATGGATTAATAAACCGCTGGCTTTATGGGAATCGTTTATAATAATATTATTTAAATTATTGTTGTACCTTTTTCTATTTGTCCACCGGTTTCGAACCGCCGGTGGGATCAAGGTTAAGAACCTTGGCGAGCTCCTCGCATTTGGCCACGCTGCTAAACCTGCCGTGGAGACCACCAGCAGGCTTGTTAAGGTCTCCATTTCTAAAATATATGTAAAATACACGAGAAATTACAATTAATTGATGTTAAACAATTAAAACTAGTGTTAAGAATCATTAAATAACTTAAGATATTTATAAAAACTTGCTTACCTTACCATGAGTGTCCATGACTTCAAATTGTGAGACACTTGTCCCCGTAGTCATTTTTAATTTGTTTGAAAAATAAACTAATTTAGTTATTTGCTTCAAGCTACAAATCCTTTTATCGAACTTGCTTATAATGGCGGGACAATTTTTCTAAGCTGTCAAAAGACCGAATGTATATCTATTTCACTCTTTTTGTCGGGAGTAAGAGAGAAAGACATATCAGTGTGGACCACGGAATAGAAAATACTTAATTTTCTGTTCTGTGGTGTGGACATACTTAAAAAGTACAGCTGAAATAAAAACATAAAAGATAGACATATGCTGTACAAACTGTTTTTTAGATAATTTTATGTAAAATATTTCCGTGATACATCATTTCTATGTAACTTTAACCATTAAGGCTACACACGCGACGGAAACTTAAAAAACAGAGTAACTTCTCCCGTTTTCCTAACATTTCCGTTCACTGCTCTGCTCCTATTATTTATAGCGTGATGAAAAGTATCCTATAACCTGCCCAGGAGTATAAAGAATAATTGCACCAAATTTTGTTAAAATCCGTTGCGTAGTTTTTGTTTCTATTAAGAACATACAGACAGACAGACAAAAATTTTACTGATTGCATTTTTGGCATCAGTATCGATCACTTATCACCCCCTGGTAGTTATTTTGAAAATATATTTAATGTACAGAATTCGCTCAGAACAGAATACTTGTTCTGTATTCTGAGAGAATTCACCTCTCTACAGATGTGTTTACCTATAAGTGGCTGTTACACTAATATTAAGTTGTAATACATAAGAAGGCACCGGGGGATTGGTACATACATCAACATCCCGATCATCGTCTTCACAGTCCATCGCAGGGCGTAGGATTTTATAATCAGACCAAATAAATTACAAACATAACAGACGTCGGTGATCCGTCTGCTATGACAGTTACAGCGCTCGCTCTCCACCATAAATGCGCACGCAGAACTGTCCAGAACTGTCTGTTTGACGTTCCGCCAGAGTACGATTCATTGTACCCTCGTCCGATGAATTGTGATAAAACCTCCTTCAAAATTCAATTTAAATTGACGCGCCGCGCCGTCACATGTTTTGTGGTGTTTGTACATTGTAAACAATCGTTGGTAAACTAAATAAAAAATATAATATAATAAAATAGGTCAGTTGAAGTCATTAGCTGCTTTATCTATAAAAGGTCTGCTTCGTAATGTGTGAATAGTCTGGATGTTCCAGATAATATTGAAGGTATATGTCGTAAGGACTGTTTTGACAGTCCATATATTTTATAGTTCATTCCATAATTAGAGACAACAATTTGACAACAGCAAATGTCAAACTACAAAATAATGTGGCCAGATTTTTTAACATAGTGATGGACCCGAGTACGATGTTTTAAAATACCGATACCGTTTTGTTATAAATTACCCTGAACAAAACAAAAAAAAGTTGCGGAGATGTTTTATAGCATAATTGTACCTAGTAATTAATATATGAAGCTAAAAAAGGACTTAAAGATTATTACAAATTAAATGAACTCGGAGCAATATGAAGAGATCAGAGATCGGATGGGAGCGATATTACAATCTGACTGACAGATATTATATTTATAATTATAGAAACCAATACCAACGTATTTCTAGGCTTAAATTATGTTTGACATTCCATCTGTCAAATTGCTGTGAGGAAATACCAAAGCTGACCATATTTTCTTGTAAAATAATGATATTATATCAATGCTAATAGTTAATAGTATTACAAATGACTTTCGGTCTTTCGGTTAATACCGGTCGCGGGACTTCACTATTTATGAAATGGAAAAAACATGCAACACTCGAAATGTCAAATCTTTGTCTCTAATTATGGAACGAACTATAAGTGAAGTCTATTCAATGTCAAGCGACAGGTAAAAACAAAACTAACTAGTATTTAATTTGAGAGAAATATACGTAGGTATGTATTAAGAATAATCTTTTACCACTTTTTTGGTAGTGGTGGCCCAGAGGTTTAGGAGGCCGCTTCTCATGCATGAGGGTGTGGGTTCGAAACCTGGCAAGTACCATTGTGACTTTTTCCGAGTCATATGTACTTTCTATGATTATTTAGACACCAGTGGCATATGGTGAAGGTAAACATCGTGAGGAAACCTGGACTTATAATTTCTAATAATAAGTTTGAAATCGCCAACCCGTATTGAGCAAGCATGGTGATTAATGCTCAAACCTTCTCTGTATGAGAAGAGGCCTTTGCTCAGTAGTGGGCCATACTGATGATGATGATGATGAATCTTTAACCGGCTAAACCCCTTTCCCGTGTAAAATGCTCCAATGTTCCATTGAAGGTAAACCTCTGTCCTTCTAGCTCCTATTAACTTTAATAAATACAAAATTTTGTGACGAATAGTTGAGTAAAGCGCTTTATTTATTCGACTAATGGTACGGCTCTACCGGAGTGATACCACGGCCTCTCAGAAAAACGGCGTGAAGCAACACTTGCGTTGTATTTTGTCGTGAGAGTGAGGTTACCGTTGGCCCAATCATTCCTAATTTTCAATTTGCCGCTAAATGTAAAACAAATGACAAATGAATGAAATATATACATAGGTACCTACTCAGTACCTAGCTAATATTGGCAAAGAGTTCTATTTCAATTTTTTGAATTATTTATATATAATATTGTTTATAAGTGGCCAGTTCTAAGAACTTTCAGTTTGACCCTTGTATACCAAGCTTGGGGGAGTCAAGCTTCGTCAGGAATGGCTCCACCGGAGTGATACCACGTCCTCACAGAAAACTGGTGTGAAACAACCCCAGCAGTATGTTTCGCCGTGTAAGTGAGGTTACCGGAGGCCCAATCCTTCTCGTCCCCAATCCCTAAATATCCGAAACCCTAATCCCCGAAAGGCCGGCAACGCAATCGTAACTCCTCTGGCGGGTGTCCATCGGCGGCGCCATTTTGCCGACTAACCACATAAAAATACATATTTTGACATTTTTTTCAAATTGCGTAATTTAAATATGGCCGCTTATTGCAAACATATTTTTGTTGCTGACTGTACTATGCCTACACGATTACTTATGTAAATAAATTATACAAGCGGAAATTTTGATGGTATCAATTCCGTTACGTCGGTAATTAAATTGAATTAATCGTTAATAGGAATATTTACGGATAAATGATTAATTAAGTGCGTGTCATAAAAGTATATGTAGTATAAATATTGTTTTCAATAGAATGACGAAGTTGAAGGTATTGTTAATCAACGTTTCTAATTCTTTATTCTATAATTGCTGAATAAATATTAACATTTGATTCGCTTGAAAATAAAAGGTATAATTGTTTTTTTCTGTTATCGTTTAACTTATGTTACCTTTTGTGTAACTTGGTAACATAAACTATATAGCAACTAAGCTGTTTATACAGAACTGATTGAAATGCTGTGATTTATAATTAACCTAAATTATGATGATAGAAATATGAACTTCCTTATTATTGATTTTACTCTATTATTTAAAATGAAGACTGGACGCAGTCCTAAACTTGAAATGACAGTAATGACAGAACATTTACGACATTGGCGTTAACATTTCTGTCATTTTACAGCTGACAGATTCACTGTCAGTGTTATAACCATCCATCTGTCAGTTGTCAAATCAATGTGACTGATTCGAAGGGGATTCTATGGTCGGGAAATTACCGAAACTTACCTATAATTTAGACTTTATTAATAGCATTCTCTTAACCGGCTTGCATACCTGCCTTATTACTCGTGTATCCAATAATGTGCAAAGTTTTGCAAAAATAAAACAAAACATAACCTAAAATTAGTGTTTACATTTTTATTACGAAATGTTTCTTTGTAAAAACTTCCTTGGACAAGCGAATATATGGAGGAAATTGTTGATAAATCATGCTGCTTCGAATATAGTGCCGTCTTTTAGTAATCACAGCGGTAAGTAAGTCAGAATTTGCTTTAAAACATGAATGTCGAGTGTGCATGATGCAAGAATAAATCCTATAAAAATCGAACTAGAATAGATGTTCCAATACTTTCTTACCTGATTAGCTTAACGTTTGTGGTGTATCTTGGTTTCGAATTGAGATATCGCGGTTTCTCGCTGGTTTTTCTTGCAAATTGTCACCTCAAATGTAGAATCGCTAGCTAGAAATTTCTTCGCCATATCTAGCTGTATCTTAGCCTCGAAAGAGTATCTATTTATTAAGTGTGCCAGTGACATATCATAAAAATAAAAGGGTGAAGAGTTTGTTGTTAATTTGAATGAGCTACTTTAAGGGGCCATTGATTTGAATGGATAAATACTTTTATGTAATATCATGTTACGAACAAGGGGAGCCAAGCAGCATGCTATAGCTACGGCTTAAAATTTATACATATAATAGAAATTCATGTTAGTTACATTATCTTTACCTCAAGAATGATTGAACCGATTTAGTTGAGAATTGGGTAGTTTCCTAGGTCAAAACTAAATTAATTAGATGTTTTAATACCATAAAACATTGAAACATAACTACACTTTTATTCATCTATCAATCAATACACTAAGTTATAGAGATTTTCAGCTAATTATTAAGCAATAAGTAAGCTATTTGACATCATACAAATTTCATAGAAAAGTATTGTTTTTGACATTTGGATAAAAGTACTGAATTGGACTAGTTGGAAACCCATATTTAATAATTTTTCAATAGGGATGTGGATTAGAATCAGAAGAAACACTTAAGATCAGGTAGGGTAGGGTAGATAGTGTAGATAGATAACAAGGTAGAGTAGTGTAGGAAGCCAAATGGCGGGAGCAATGCTGCAGGTAAAAGCTAATATAGAAATAAAACTAAATACTTCACTTCTCATTTCCAGGCTTAGCCGTATGTATACAAAACAGATGTCTGTTCAGTCACAGAAATGAAAGAATCGCATACCAAATTAGAAATATAACACCTCTACACAGAAAATGGAGTTCAAGAGGCTTATTAGATGGTGATGTTGGGGATTTATTGACTGTTCAGCATGATAAAGGTAATAAATGTAATAAAATCAATGTATTGATACCCAGATATTGAATGTACGGTTCTACAAGTTATATGCTTAGATTGAATTTTTTTTTATGGTATAAGTCGTCAAACAAGTAGACGGATTACCTGATGGTAAGCAATCGGCGCCGCCCATGGACACCCGCAAGACCAAAGGAGTTACGAGTGCGTTGCCGGTCTTTTGGGGATGGGGGTTGCGGATATAAGGATTGGGAAGGGATAGGGGAAGGGGAGGGATTGGGCCTCCGGTAACCTCACTCACATGGCGAAACACAACGCTGTGAGTTGTTTCACGCCAGTATTCTGTGAGGCTGTGGTATCACTCCGGTCGAGCCGACCCATTCGTGCCAAAGCTTGGCTCTCCCACACTTGTTAGTTAGCAATTAGTTATTTTATAGACATTCTAATAACATTTCTATGCTACATGATTACTTATGTAAATAAAAAAAAACAAATGGAAAAATTTAAGCTATAAATTCCAGTATATAATAACTTAAATAAAATTAATATTTATGTAAAATTAATTAATTAAGTGCTTATGTGTCATAAAACTGTTTTTAGAAGTTGTTAAAGTCAATAAAATGTTAATTCCAATAAAATAATGAAGTTAAAGGGAGATTGTAAATCGAAATTCCAATAACTTAATTGTGTTATATAGTTAAATTGTAGTGCAGTGATTCATATTTTTTAATGTTATAGAAATTCTAATTAATTTATGTACCTAGTATGGCTTTTAATAACATTATTAATAAAACCTCATTATGGACAATGTTAAACATTCTCGGCCTTATTACAAAACAAAGTTTTACTTTAGTCTAGGACTAAACCATTGAGCCAGTTTTTGTATTTCGAATTGAAGGTAGATGACAATAAGATTCAAAATTTAAAACCCGAATCAATGGTTTAAACCTGGACTAAAGATAAATCTTGTTTTGTAATAACGGGGTCTAAGTTAACAATGAATAAATTACATATTTGTATCTTTAACTTTGCCTTTATTCTAAATTCTCTCTCTTTTACCCATTTAAGCACAATAAACTGGATTTAATAGCTTGTTAGCTAGCTGTGTTAAAGTGTCAAATCAATGTTAGTTAATCCAAATTAATAATTGAACAATTAACTTAAGAAAGCTCTGAGGGCAGATTTTTCAATAGTTAGATAAAGTTATCTGAAGAAAAAATATAAGTGTGGGAGAGCCATGCTTCGGCATGAATGGGTCGGCTCGACCGGAGTGATACCACGGCCTCACAGAAAACTGGCGTGAAATAACCACAGCGTTGTGTTTCGCCGTGTGAGTGAGTTTACCGGAGGCCCAATCCTTCCCCTCCCACAATCCCTCCTCAATCCCTAAATCTCCCAATCCCTAATCCCTAAAAGGTCGACAACGCACTCGTAACTACTCCGTTGCGAGTGTCCATGGGCGGCGCTGATTGCTTACCATCAGGTAATCTGTCTGCTCGTTTGCCGATCGTTTACATAAAAAAAAGAAAAATTATAATGCTGTTGCGTCACAATGTTTGTATAAGACAGTGACAGCAACAATTTTATTCCTCAGATAACATTTATCTGACTATTGCAAAATCAGCCCTCATTCTAATAACTTTATTATGTGTCATGTTGTACTATACAAAAACATATAACCAAATATTGTAATTATTTAATAACATGTTAATATATTAACAAAAATGATTCCTTGTTTCAGTGCAGAAGAAAATCACAGATCTGTTTCCGCTACCAAGAGTAACATTGAATGAGCTAACAAGTAAGACACCGGATCCAATATTTGATATACATTACAAACAAAACACTGTTGCACCCAAAGGAAGAAAGAAAGTTGTTCAGAACAATGACTGGACCTGCACTTATACATTTGTTTGGCCCGAGAAGAAGAAGTTTGAATGGTAAATGTTTTTCTACAAACATAAAATAACTTTACTTATGTAGCAGACTAGCTACTCTCACGCGGTTTCACCCGCTGCTCCGCTCCATTTAATCTTAGCGTGATGTTTTATAGCCTATAGCACTCAGGAACATTGTTGCTTTCGATCAGTGAAAGGATTTCGGCAATCCGATTAGCGTTTCCAAAGATTACCCCCTACATACAAACTTACAAATTTAACCTCTTTATAATATTACTATAGATTAGTATAGATATGTATCTGCCTTCCCTACCTACCTTACCTACTCACCCTATCCTACTGTGCCTACCTACAAGAATAAACAACATTATGACAACTTTCTTGAGACTGCACATAGTGACCAATTTTATTTTTTAATAATTTAGACTATAAAACTGAAACAAATAGGTCTAAGCATAGTACAGCGTGGTGGCCCACAGGCTAAGGCGCCCGTTTCTCATGCATGAGGGTATAGGTTCGAAACCTGGCAAGTACTAATGAGACTTTTTCCGACTGATATATACTTTCTACGATTATTTAGACACCACTGGCATCGTGAGGAAACCTGAACTTATATTTTTCTAATCATAAGTTTGAAATCCGCCTTGAGTAAGTGTGGTGATTAATGCTCAAACCCTCATGTGAGAAGAGGCCTTGGCGCAGCAACTTATAGGCTGATGATGTGATCAAATGTCTACACACTAACACGAGTTTTCTCATTCACAGCACAGCCTTATCGAAACGAAAAGCAGCGGAGAAGGCAGCGACTCAAGCCATACACTGGTTGTTTGTGAACAAACGAATTGATACCAAAGGATGTCCGATATATGATAAGAATGTTCTAGAAGATATCAAGAACAAGTTAAACGACCCTCTAGAAGCAGCCATTAGTGACAGCTCCATAAATAAAATTGAGAAGATATGGAATGAATATGAGAGTGGTATAAGTAGGTTTGTCTTTTATTACTTACTAGCTATTCTCACGCGGTTTCACCCGCTGCTCGGCTCCATTTAATAGTAGCGTGATGTTTTATAGCCTATAGCACTCAGGAACATTGTAGCTATCTATCAGTGAAAGAATTTTGGCAATCCGACCAGCAGTTCCAAATATTAGCCCCTACATACAAACTTACAAATGTTACCTCTTTATAATATTAGTACAAATATTTTGTTATTGATTGGGTTTTAGATGATGTCGGGTTCGATTCCTGAGATGAGTATTGTGCGATTATGGTTCTGCAATGTATTTTTGAATAGTAACTAACTTCAGACATACAAAATTTATTGAAAATAATGTCTTACGTGAATTAACTGAGAAATGCTCTACTAATTTCAAGTTACAACGGGACTCTTAATTCGAGGCAGTGTATCTCAATCGATTGCGAATTTAATTCACGTGAGTGTGCCGTTATTTTCAAAAAATTTGGCCTGCAATCTTATAGTACCCAATTGTGCGGGCTTGCGGACGGCGAGCTACCCTTGCTCACAGCTTGTTAGCTAAGAACCAATAGACCATCACACATGGAGCCCAACAGGGCTGATGTCCAGCCGGAGTTGCGATTGAAGCGGGAGAAAATCATCAAATGAATTCTCCCACTCTGAGTGGAGCGAGAGAGAGTTTCAAACTCTTACTGACTTAGAGCCACCCTGTTCCGTCTCGAGTTTCCTTACCTGATTACCTGATGGTAAGAAATCGGTGCTACCCATAGACACCCGTATGGGGGGTGGGGGTGGGGGGGAGGGGAAGGTTTGGTCCTTCGGAAACCTCATTCACACGGCGAGACACAACGCTGTAGTTGCTCGACGGTTTTCTGTGAGGCCGTGGTATCACTCCGGTCGACGACGGCCCATTCGTGCTGAAGCATGGCTCTCCCACACTTAATACGTCGTCGTGACGTGACTCCTTGTTTAAATTATGATTTCATTTTTTATTAGTATTTATTTTCAATAATATTTACAGAGGACATTTACGAAGCTACATTCAAGGAATCCAGAGAAAAGATGATAGAAATGCCAGCCGTTGTAACCAAAGATTCTACGATAGATGAAGGTAAGCGTGTACAATATTATTATTGGTCCTAATACTGCTTCGTTTGAGAATTAACGCAAGCACAGCTTTTGAGCAAAGGGTTGGACTCTTTGGCACTGCGTAGGGATGTAGCCTCGCGAAGTGTTTGTAGCGACATCTAGCGCACTACATTAACAACAGCACCAATCACGTGCAAGAGTCTACATCGCGCTATAAGAGTTTTCCACACAATTAGCACCCATACAGATATCCCGACAACAACCGTTGGGCAGTAGCCCGCCAGGCACGAACCTCGCCTGGTCGGAGGATCCTCCCTTTTCAATGGAGGATGAGGAACTTTGCACCCTGTTCCTCATACCTCTAAATGTTCTCTATCGCATCTATCACGGGGAGTGTTGTGAGGAATTGTTCGGTTCGATCCCCGCCGCATCTTTTCCCCATCGTTCTACGTGAAAGCGTCTTCATCCCGATTGTGCGATTTACGAGAAACTTTCTGCCCCGCACAGCAAAACTTTGGTTCAAAACGATCATTGCAAAGTTTTCCTGCGCGAGGTTGGAAGTCAATCACGATACTTTTTTGTGTATTTTCTATGAAATACCAACATATATTTTTACGTCCAATAAGGATTGTAAGTTGGTATTATATATTTCTGAAAATATTGCTAGAAATAAGTCCAAATTGAAGTATATCGTCAAAACAATGAATGCTAGTATGATTACCTATATTTTAATATAATTAATTTGTTCCAGACGATTTCTCAGAAGATGATAGTGATCAAGTCGAATTAGAGGATAATTCAGGTAAATGCAAAGTTTTTTCTTTCCTTTGCATAAATGCAACATTTTCAGAATATTAAAAGTAAGGAGTAAAAAGTACACATTCTTAAATAAATATCACTTTATGTATTCCTATAGCCAGATAGCTACACGAATTGTACTTGATCAAGGGGCTAGATGATTAATTGCACGGCTATTATATCCTGTTAGCTGCGACACATAGGTACATAATGTATATTAATATTATAAAGAGATAAAATTTGTAATTTGTAAGTTAGTATGCAAGGAATAATCTTTGGAACCGCTGAACCGAATTTCAAAATTATTTCACTGATAGATAGCTACAATGATCCTGAATGTTATAGGTTATTAAACATCATCCTAAGACCAATAGTAGCCAAGCTGCGGGTGAAACCGCGCGACTATAGCTAGTATCTAATAATAATAATTTTTATACAGAATTGAAACACCACGTACATCCAGTGTACGGCAAGAACGTTCCACCAGCCTCAAAAACTTCTCTGGAGAGAAGGGACCGCGCCCTCAGTCGCAAGTTCAAAGAATATGATGAAAATCTCACTCCGTTACCCATTGATGAATATCGGTAAGTCTATCTTATTATTTTGATAACTCATCATCATCATCACCATCAGCCTATAAGTGCTTACTGCTGAGCAAAGGCTTATTCATCATCATCTTCAATAATCACCAGCCTATAAGTGCTTACTGCTGAGCAAATGCCTCTTCCCACACGGAGAAGGTTTGAGCATTAATCACCACGCTTGCTCAAGACAATTTGGTGAATTCTAGCTTAATTAGAAATGTTAAGTCCATGTTCCGTCACGATGTTTACCTTTTACGTGTGTCTGTGGTGTCTTTATAGTCTTAGAAGGTTTTTTTTTGTGTAGGTAATAGGTCGGCAAACGAGCAGACGGATTACCTGGATGGTAAGCAATCAGCACCGCCAATGGACACTCGCAACGGAGGAGTTACGAGTGCGTTGCCGACGTTTTAGGGATTAGGGATTTGGAGATTTAGGGATTGAGGAGGGATTGGGGGAGGGGAAGGATTGGGCCTCCGGTAACCTCACTCACACGGCGAAACACAACGCTGTGGTTATTTCACGCCGGTTTTCTATGAGGCCGTGGTATCACGCCGGTCGAGCCGACCCATTCGTGCCGAAGCATGGCTGGCATGGAAAATACGTATAACTTGGAAAAGGTCACATTGGTCTTGAGCGTGGAAAAAAAGAGACCCCATGTAGCTTTCGAGATTCGTGTCAGCGCATAAAGGTTATTCTTGGCTTCAATGAAGGAAAAGTTGACTGCACAGTTGATGCGGTGGCTGGGCAACTGGCTGCCGTGCAACGTGTCGCGGGTTCGATTCCCGCACGGAACAACTCTTTGTGTGATTCACAAATTGTTGTTCTGGGTCTGGGTGTCATGTGCATGTGAAATTGTATGTTTGTAACCGCACCCACGACACAGGTGTAAATCTTAGTGTGGGGCAACGTTATTTTTTTTTTAAAAGTATTTTTTCTAGTACTAGGCCGCGATAGCAAACCGACTCCTTTCGTTTTACCGGAACGTTACTGAACTCAATAGACGGCCATGACTTCAGATTACCCTTGAGCTAAAGCTGATAAGTTTTATGGGGTGCAAAAGTTAGGCGATTTCGTTCACCCCATCGTGATATCTTATTGAGGCAGTCTTTAGCAAGATTATTAAAAGACTATCATCCGCATATCCAGTCAAAGAACAGCTTCATGTTAGGGGAATCAGCCGGCGTTGCGGGGTAAGCGCAATGAGGCACCGCGACCTCGGCCCAGAGCAGGAGAAGGAACGGGTTTTTTAGTCAGTAAAAGTCTGACACTCTCTCTCGCTTTACCCTTGGGCGGGAGAAGTCATTTGATGATTTTCCCCTCACAAAAAAAGGACAAGATCATAAAAACAGAAATTCCACAGATACGGGCCTGTAACCGATCCCTGGGGACATCCCATTGATAATGACTTCGACTCAGAATAATGTCCGAGCTTTAAGTTTACTGAGCCGTGGATAAAGTACGTGTATACTAGTGTATATGTATATGTTACTAAAGCAGCCACGGCCTTTCATTCTAAGAAGTATCTAGAAAGGTCTACCGATCCGACCACGGGGTTGCGGGGTAAGCGCAATGAGCCACCGTGACCTCGGCTTAAAGCAGGAGAAGGCCAATTTTTTGTTTTTTTTTTGTCGTGGGAAAAACATTTAATGACTTCTCCCGCCCAAGGGTAAAGCGAGAGATTTTCAGACTCTTACTGACTAAAAAAACCCCGTTCCTTCTCCTGCTCTGTGCCGAGGTCGCGGTGCCTCGCAACCCCGGCTGAACATCAACCCTATTGGGTCCCGTCTGTGGTGGTCTATTGGCTCTTTGAGACGCGCGCGGAACGCTACGCGCCGTACGCTCGGATCTGGTTCTGATCGGGCGGCTAGCTATCCTTACTCGCCGTCCCCCGTTTCTTCTGCTGGGTTTTTATTCAGTAAGTGCCTGACACTATGAGCGGGAGAAGTCATTTGATGATTTTTCCCTCACATAAAGCAGATAGTATTATTGATTAAAACCAAGAAAAGAAAGTAAATGACATATTTTCTGGTGTAAATAACAAGTGAAATCTTAAAATCTATAAATAATTGAATTCAGGAATTAACAGGTACCTAATACCGACCTACTTAAATTTCCAACGTTAACATAAATCTAACAACAATGTGACGTCACATCACACAAACGTAATAATACGTCACATTATATTACGTAGTACCTACTACGTAGGTAACAGTCACACACACACACACACACACACACACAAACACCGTCGTCCTCGAACTCTCAAAATCCGATCTCGTCCGGGTTACAAAAACCTTGTTCCACTTGCCTACTTCCCGTTCGAAGTAACCTCGTTGTTCCATAACCGACAATAAATGACCTTGGGACCTCAATACGCGGCCGCGACCTCCTACCGTGCCCTCGAAACCCCGAGATTGACCTTGAATTCTCTTCTGTGACCTTCCAAACGACTGTTGGTACAGATTAGTTTATTTCGAGTCTGTAATGTAGGTCGGATGGTTAGGGAAGTTTTGTGTATTTGTGCTAATGTTTTTGTATTAAATTCTGTGTTTAATTAGTGTTTGAAACTTCCTTTGATAACATTGTAACTGTTTTTTTACAGTAATGTTGCCAAAGTAGTGATTATGATCTAATCCGTTCCATCGCCTTCATATTTTTTTATATGATAGGACGGCCAACGAGCATACGGATTACCTGATGGTAAGCAATCAGCGCCGCCCATGGACACCCGCAACACCAAAACAGTTACCGAGTGCGTTGCCGGCCTTTCAGAGATAAAGGTTTTGGATATTTCAGGATTGGGAAAGGATTGGGACCCCGGTAATCTCACTCACACGGCGAAACTCAGCGGTATAGTTGTTTCACACCGTTTTTCTGTGAGGCCGTGGTATCACCAACGAGTAATTCTTGTATATACCTCGAGGTTAAGACGTGAAATGTCGGTAAAGAAAATACCCGTATAGATTAAATACATGTGTATCAGGGACTTGCATATTTTTTTAATTTGGGATATTCCTGAATAGTAAATGTCGTAAAACAATAACGAATTACTCACATGAATCAACTGAGAAAAACTCTAACGGCCTTATTACAAAACAAGGTTTTACTTTAGTCTAGGACTAAACCATTGAGTCAGTTTTCGTATTTCGAATTGAAGGTAGATGACAATAAGATTCAAAATTCAAAACCCGACTCAATGGTTTAAACCTGGACTAAAGATAAACCTTGTTTTGTAATAAGGGGGTAAAGGTTTTGGATTCAGATCAGTCATTTAATTCCCCCGTTGGCCAACTCTTTAAGCTAGCTGTGTTCAATAGATCGAGACAGTATTTCATTTCACCCTTTGGCCCGATATGGAATACTGTGCTGATCTTTAGGTATGCGCACCCTAGTACCAGTTTCTCCCTCTGGTCTGCATTCAGCGACGAGCTGTTCGAATCGTTGGCTGCCCTTATCTCGGATCAGTTGGACTCTTCGGCACTGCGTAGGGATGTAGCGTCTCTGTGGAATAGGTTTGAACCCCGCCGCATATTTTCACGAAAATCGATGACAAAAACATATATGGTTGGCAGTCAACAACAGTGCGTTTTACACTTTTGTGACACGACACTCGGGTCACAAAAGTGTGTAATTTGTTTTCTTTTTTATAAAACGTTGCCCCCCACACTAGGATTTTCTCCTGTGTCTTGAGTGCGTTTACAAACATACAAATTTAAACACACAACACACCCAGACCCGAAAAAGAAATTGTGGATTACACAAAGTGTTGTTCCGTGCGGGAATCGAACTCGCGACACGTTGCACAGCAGTCAGTTGCCCAGCCACTGCGCCAACCGTGCAGTCAATATAAATTTGTGTATACCTGTTTTTTTTATGGCATTAATACTCCAATATTTTCTCTCGCTGTGAAAAAAAAATCGTGTGCTCCTCCAATTAAAGGAAACCACATCATGCAAAAAAATAACGACATGTAAAATTAAAAATTATAAAAATTGAAATTAAATTATCAATAAAATAGAAAGGCGTCATCGCTGGATAAAATTAAATTTTCTAATGTTTCCTTAAAAATAGGTATACAAAAACTTTTCTCTAACATCTTCCAAGTCATATCCAAGGCTATTGAAAGTCTAAGTGAACGGCATTATAACCTCAATACACCATCTTGCAGATACCGCGACCTCCTTTCTTCAGTTAGTCGGGCAACCAAAGAGTTTCTATGTCACTTTCGAACTTAGAATGCATGTTTTCGAAAGTGTAACGATGCAATCGATTTGGGGGCAGTGCATTATACTATAACTTTTTATTATATTGATTACAAATATTTTTTCTTAAGAGTTTAGTTATAGATGTGTGTTGTGTATTTATGATAATAATTCTATGAAAGTGGAGACTTTATTAGAAACTAGGAACAACTTTAAATAATCAATTTGAGACCTACCTACTGCGTAAATAAAAAGTATTTACATTAAAGTCCATGATATTGTTACTTTTTGATGTAATTATCATGTCTATGTGAGTTTAATGTTTAATATATGCATCTCTCTCTACCTCCTCGGGATACAAAACGTGATGTTTCGTTAAAACACATCTACATTTATTGTGTATATAGAACACGCACACTTAAACATCTACGTCACACGACTCGACGACACAACAATGGTTCGACGTCATTTGCGTCACGAACGATAACGAAAGTAAAATGAAATCGACAGTTTCACTCTCGCTCTCAACAGTCAGCTGTCAGTGTCAGCTGTCACTGCTATACGTCACAGTGACGTATCGAATACGTCACGTTGATGTAGAACGGTCTTTCGCGATCACTCTCGATTTCGTTCGTGCGTTCTGCCAAACTTTCGCGATACGTCAATGTGACGTTTGAATAAAAGTAACGGTTGTTATGGCCCAATTGTTCAGTGAAGTTGTATGCTTGATACCTTTGTACAAGTATTTTCGCTAACTAATTTTTAGTCTCACTGTAATTTATAAATTGGGTAGTAATTGCCAAATACCATGTTATATGCACTATTTAGTTAACTCAGCATTTTGTACAAACTCAATAATTTACTTATGGTCGGCATTTTAATCAAACCTAATGTTTTTTATTTGAAAGGCAACTGATTTTCCGAATTATGGAAAATCTACCATTAAGGCTGTATAACTGCCAATTGCTGTCACACGTCAAGTATTGATATAATGCTCTTTCACAAACTCTGGATTTCGTTGCTGTCAAACTTTCGCGATACGTCACTGACGTACAGAGAAAGTTTTAGGCAGAATCGCCACGACCACTCTCGATTTCGTTGCTGCCAAACTTTCTTAACTTTCTAAGTAAAAGTAACGTTGGTATAGCTCCTATTGCCAAAGGAAGACGGAGCTAATGAAGGAATCTACTTAAAGATAATTTGCTCTAATTACTTAATTTTAGTCATATTGTCATTTATTCTGAAGCCTTTGCCACAGATTTTAAATATTACACAATAATGTTATAAAAAATAATTAAAAATGAAAAAAAACTCAATATTATAGGTACTACGTATTAATTAACGGATGGATAGAACTAAACACATCCCAAATGTCCAATTCAATGCTGTCGACTATACTGTCAGTGTCATCTTTGAGGCAGTTTAACTCTCTTGAGCTGTCAGTACTGTCAAACGTCAAAGTCAAAGTATCGGATACGTCAACGTCATGATGACAGAATGGTCTGTCACGTTCACTCTCGCTTTCAGTAATAACTGTCAAAGTTTTACGGTACGTCACTGTGACGTATAATGTTAGTAAGAGTGAAATTACGATGCTTCGTACATGTCATTATTTGCATACATAACAAGAAAAAGAGATATAGCGTAGGTCGTTGTATATATTATTTGTTATGTTTTATTTAACTATCTAACATTAATTGGGTTGTTAACTACCATTCCAATTAAATATTTTATCTTGGATCGAACTGTCAAAATAAACAGTTTTCTTTGAATTTTGTACGACGTCGTGAAGCTTATTGAATTTATTGATATTTTTAAATTTTATGTTTTTGAAAAAAACATCCTGCAATTTGATTTTATCCTATGTCGTGGCTGCGTTAACAAACATGTTATTTCACATACACATCACATTCAGACCTAGAACAACATTCGCAGATCACACAAGGAGTTGTCTAGTACGAGAATGATTATGGAACGGCCGGTTGCCCACCCTATCATTCCTACTTATTTAATTTAACTTTGACTGACTTTTACTTTCGTCGGTTTCTACGTCAGAAGTACGTAGAATATCTCCATTACTCTCGTTTTCAATACCGCTAAACTTTCGCGGTAAGTTATGCTCATACGTCATTGTGACGTGTAAGTAAGAGTCTTCGCGATATTTGGTGTATCGTCGGATTTGAAAGTAGGGCATTAGGAGATGTGAAAGAGATTTCGCTCACTGCTCGTGAGCTTTTGCTATTGAGTTAAACCTACATTCAGTCAACAAAGTATCGGGAATGAATGTTTTTTTTATGGTTCCAAATTCGAATTTTAATTTTTTTGTTGTTGTTAGATTGGCATAACTATTTTCCATTTTGGCGCGGAATTTGAGTTGCATCTGTTATTTATATTAAAAACAGTGCTGTTTTTAGTTTTATAATATCTAGTGTGTATTGCGAATTTCATAATGGACAAAAACATCGAACAAAGAGTTCGTCTTAAATTTTGCATCGCCAATGAAATTTCGTGTTCGGAGGCACTCAAAATGTTACAGAAGGCGAATCGACTTTATCAAAAACACGTGCTTATGAGTGGTACAAAGCGTTCAAAAGCGGTCGAGATGTGATGGAAGATTTGCCTCGTTCTGGTAGGCCATCAACTTCTGCAACTGAAGTTAACATCGCAAAAGTGAAGGAAATAGTGACTGAAAATCCTCATACAAGTTTGAGAGAGATGGCCGCCGAACTTTCTGTATCTCACGAGTCGATCCGTACCATTTTAACAAATAATTTGGGTATGAAACGTGTTGCCGCTCGGCTACTCCCAAAAGACCTGAATTTTCTTCAAAAACTAAATCGCATGAAAGTCGCTGAGGACATGCTAGAACGAGTCAATACCGACCCAACATTCATGAAACGCATTGTTACTGGTGACGAGACGTGGGTTTACGAGTTTGACATGCAAACTAGTCAACAAGCTTCGGAATGGCGCCTTCCAACTGAACCAAAACCGAAAAAACCACGTCAAAGTCGATCAAAAGTCAAAGTCATGTTGACTGTTTTCTTTGACTATCGCGGTGTTTTGCAGTCAGAATTCTTGCCCGAAGGTCAAACGGTAAATAAAGAATATTATTTGAGCGTTATGCGGCGTTTAAGAGAACAAATTCGACGAAAAAGGCCAGAAATGTGGAAAGAAAATTCTTGGATTTTGCATCACGATAATGCGCCTTCGCACAAGGCCATCATTGTAAACGATTTTTTGTCCAAACACTCAACAAACACCATCGAGCAGCCACCATATTCACCAGATATGGCTCCAGCTGACTTCTTTCTTTTTCCCACACTCAAATTACCCCTTCGTGGCACCCGTTTTCAATCGTTAGAAGACATAAAGGAGAATTCGCGGAGAGCACTGAACTCAATTCCGGAAACAACGTTTAAAAAAAGTTTCGATGATTGGATTATTCGTTGGCGTAAGTGTATCGTTTCTGAAGGAGCATACTTTGAAGGTGATAAAATAAATTTAGATGAATAACAAACATTTTGTGTATTATTGACTTTTTCCCGGTACTTTCTTGACAGAGTAGTATTTATGCGATTGGTAAACGATCAGACGGATTGCTTTGTGTAAACAATTGTCGCTGCCCATTTATACCCGTAATACCAGAGGAGTTACGAATGCGTTGCCGGCCTTTTAGGGATTAGGATTTTGGAGATTTAGGGATTAGGTAGGCAGAGATGGGGCAGGCATATCAACCATTTACTTGTCTACTCTTAGTTCTGACAGAGGTGTTGGCAGACTCTTACTGACTTAATTCCACTTCGTTCCTAAATCTTCTTCGAACCGGGCCGTCTAGTTCTTACATCCGGCCGTTGTTAGCCAGGGTACCAGCTACATTTGTAATGGCCTGATGACTTAATGGCGCGTGCAAAACGCTCGTGTCTGGCCAGGCGGCTAAGTACCAGCAATACTTACAGGGTAAAGTTTTTTGCTGTCTACAGACCCGCGTCAAGTAGTGGTGGCCCGAAGATGAATTGACTAACGTCATTTTTCATATGTAGTTTCTCAGTTCATTTTAGACACATGCATATGGTGAAAGAAAACATCGTGAGAAAACCTGGACGGACTTCTAATATCTTATAAGTTTAAAATCGCCGATACGCCTTAAGCAAGCGTGATGATTAATGCTCAAACCTTCTCAATGTGAGAGGGGGTCTTTGCTCAGCAGTGGGCACTTATAGGCTGATGACGATTGCCGAAAATCGTCGCATATTCCCCAGTAAAGTTTTGGCAAACTCCACGTGTCTAACAATGACAATATTCTTAAAAAATTACAGAGACCAAATAATATCGACGTTGGAACAGAACAGGGTGACCGTTATTGTTGGTGCTGCTGGTTGCGGGAAATCGACCCGCGCTCCCGCCGCCATATTGCGGCATTGTGGCGCGAATACTAGCGCCATAGTGTCGGAGCCACGACGTGTAGCGGCTATAGGACTAGCTGAGAGGGTAGCTAGTGAGTTGGGTGAAGAGGTAGGTTTTTTTTAAAGGTTAGTCGTCAAACGAGAAATCGGATTACCTGATGGTAAGCAATCAGTGCCGCCCATGGACACCTGCAACACCAATGGAGTTAAGAGTGCGTTGCCGGCCTTTAACCGCTAGTCTCCCGGTATATAAGACACAATAGAAAACACATTGTGTCTCGCGTATATCTGCGCTCCGGCATACCACGGGTTAAGGGATAGGAGTTTTGGATATTTAAGGAAGGGATGGGCGAGCGGAAGGATTGGGCCTCCGGTAACCTTTGAAGCGGTGGTATCACTACAGTCGAACGCAGTTCGTGCCGAAGCTTGGCTCTTCCACACTTATATTTGTTTAAGTTTCTGAAACCAAACTGTCTCAACTAGATTACTTCAGATTTTATGTAAAACTTTTTTGAAAAAGTACATTGGCTATCAGTAAAATAATTGGTGCGGTGGCTGGGCAACTGGCTGCCGTGCAACGTGTAGCGGGTTTGATTCCCGCACGGAACAACTCTGTGTGATCCACAAATTGTTGTTCCGGGTCTGGGTGTCATGTGCATGTGAAATTGTATGTTTGTAACCGCACCCACGACACAGGAGAAAATTCCAGTGTGGGGCAACGTTTTTCAAGATTAAAAAAAATAATAAAAAATGTTTACTCTTCAGTGACATCTCCAAGCAATACACCTATTTTTACGCTTAGGGTATTTTCTCATTAACTGTGTATTTTACAGGTAGGAGAATCAATTGGCTATCAAGTCAGACTGCACTCGAAACCTCCGAAGCCACCTGGAGGGTCGATCCTGTACTGCACTTCAGGAGTCCTACTAAGAAGATTGCAGTCCAACCCAGGTTAATACCCATGAGTAATATAACGAAATAAATGTTATTCCTTAACTACAGTCAAACCAATGTAATGAAATTGTACCCCTTGAACCTAAAAATAATTAATTAAAATGCCAACTATGTGCATTCTACAACCAGTACTAACCTAAGCCTGAATCAGCCGGGGTTGCGGGGTAAGCGCAATGAGGCACCGCGACCTCGGCACAGAGCAGGAGAAGGAACAGTGGGGTTTTTAGTCAGTAAGAGTCTGACACTCCCCCCCACCCGGCCCTGGGCGGGAGAAGTCATTTGATGATTTTCCCCTCACAAAAAAAACCTAAGCATGAATAATAATCGAAGTCGTAAAGTAAGTCGCGTCGGAGATCGCATGAGCACAAGCTCGCCGCCCGACCAGAACAGTCCCAAGCAATCCGCGCGCGCGCCTTAAAGAGCTAAGAGACTACAGATGGAGCCCTACAGGGCCGATGTTCAACTGGGGTTGCGGGTCAAGTTCAATAACATACCGCAGCCTCAGCCTAAAGCAGGAGAAGGAACAGGGTAGTTTAAGTGAAAAATAGTCTGAAAGTTAAATGCCACCCAAACATTTCTGGCAAAAGACCTGATAGATAACCCGATGATAAGCAATCGCTGCCGCCAATGAACACTCACTTATTAACTACGAGTATTTTGCCGGCCTTTTGGGGACTATGTATGTTTTTTTCTTGTATAATTTAATTTTAATTAGTGTGACATATTTAATTTCTAACTTTTAAGGATATTGACATTTTTTATTATTATTAATTTTTATAATCTCTATTTTTTGTTGTGTTTCCGAATTTAATTTAATTTTGTTTCAATTATATTTTTAAAATGTTAATTTGAATTTTAGCTTGTAAGTACTTTGCTGTGCCCTGACAGGGTCTACAACGGCTCTTAGCTATAAGCTTTTATTGTTAACACCACACTACGTTGTAGAACGCAAATAAATGAATATGAATATGAAGATTTGAGGATTGGACGTCCGATAACCTCACTAACACGGCGAAACTCAACGCTTCGCTTTCTACAGCCTCTTCTATAAATACTAATAGAGTTTAATTTCCGTTTCCAGGTTTGGAAGGTTGCACCCACGTGATAATAGACGAAGCCCACGAGCGTGACGTCAACACTGATGTCACGCTGCTACTGCTGAAGCGGGCGTTAGACATTAATCCGGAGCTCAAAGTGGTCATCATGAGCGCCACCCTCGACATAGGAGTTTTTACCAAGTAAGTATACTTAATACTGAATCTTTTTGGATTTAAATGAATTATATTCTATCCTTTTCTCTTCCTCCTCTTTCTTCCTTTTCTCTCTCATCAGTACACGTTATGCTGAACATACCTCCTACTCTTTTTTATTTCATAGGGCGGTAAACGAGCAGACTGATTATCTGATGGTAAGCAATCAGCGTCACCCATGGACACCCGCAACGACAGAAGAGTTACTGGTACTTTGCCGAACTTTTGAGGATTGCGGTTTAGATATAGATTTTGGAATTGGGGAAGGATGTGGAAGGGGAAGAATTAGGCCTCCGGTAACCTGACTCACACGGCGAAACAAAACGGTGTGGTTGTTTCACGCCGGATTTCTATGAGACCGTGGGTATCGCTCCAATAGAGTCGACTCTTCCGTGCTAAAGCTTAGATCTACTGGTATTTTATGGTTGTTGGTGTAGTATACTTAGGTAGACAAAAAACTAGTATCCACCCACAAAGAAAAAGTATCTCAAAGAGTGTTGCTCTCGGTTGTCTGAGAAAATTTTAGTTCCTTATCCGGCTCTCAAGGGAAGTGTACGGATATCTATCTCAGGTTTTTTTGCCTTTGCCAAATGAATTTAATAATAGCGCCTTGTTATTTCGCTTTTTCATTCAAAAAACATTAATTGTGTAATTATTATTATCATTATCTATTTTTCTATTTTAATGAATCAATTATCATTATCTTCCGCAGATATTTCAACCAATGTCCAATAGTAGAAGTACCAGGCCGCACGTTTCCTGTGGAAGTATCGTATTTAGAAGATATACAAAAGAGGTTTGGTCTAACCTTACCTTACACAGCTGAGATGTGTAACAAGGTCGATATGAGACCCCAAGTCAAATGTCAAGAGGTAATTTTAATGATTATTATTTACTAGCTATTCTCGTGCTGTTTCACCCGCTGCTCGGCTCCATTTGATTGTAGCGTGATGTTTTAGAGCCTATAGCACTCAGGAACATTGTAGCTATCTATCAGTGAAAGAATTTTGGCAATCCGACCACTGGTTCTAAAGATTACCCCTTACATAACAAAGTTTACCTCTTTATAATATAAGTATAGATTATATATTATTTCAGATAGCAGAATTGATTAAAGCAGTGGACAAGAAAGAGAAGGAAGGCGCTATACTAGTATTCCTCCCGGGCTGGTCTGAGATTAAAATGACAAGACAATTATTGGAGGAACACTACGGACAGTCTTCCATGCATATGATATTGCCTGTACATTCTAGGTAAGTTTTGATTTGTATTTTTTTATAGAAATTTTAACTATGTTCCTACTATATTTCCCTGAGTTTATTTGCATCACTCATCATCATTATGTCGGCCATCGCTGAAAATCAGCGCTGCGACACTGTCTCGCATAGTGTCGCTGCATATGCTGAGCGGGGGCCATTTCGCGCATATTTTTCCTTATATTACTCTTTTTATATTGTATTACCATTTTTTTTTGTTTTTGTGTTTATACACTTGTTTGTTCTGGGTCTTATGTGCGTCCTAGACGCGAATAAATACTTTTTCTTTCTTTCTTTCTTCATTATAACCATATTAGCTAAAAAGCGTGACTAGACCTATGTTCGGGAGACAATGATCTCCACCAAGGGATTCTGCCTGCATACTATTTTTAAAGTCAAAGGCAAAATCATTTATTCCAACTAAACTATAAATAAGTACTTTTGAAACGTCAAAACAGAAAAGTAGTCTGTCAGTCTGTTCGTCAGTGAATGTAATAGCTCATTCCAAATTGTAGATTCGAACGGAGAAGAACGAGCAAGAAACTCCATCGTTACTCTTTTTAAAAAAATATATATCTTTTACAATTTCACTAATATAACATTTTGTATACATTATTGTATCCTTATGTGAGAACAATGCAGAGACAGATTGTAAAAAAAAACATGCATGGCCCATTTTATGTCTTCGTGTCTTGTGCCTTAGGTACATTTGGAAAAATACAAATTCTCCAAAAGTGCGTTTAAAAAAATAAAAATGGATGAACATTCATCCATTCGCCTCCAATTTTATTATCAGAGCCGATAAGAAGTTGATTTCTTTGACGGAGTCTTTATTCCCCGTAAGGAACCAGAGTGTCTTCCAAGCTCTAGTGAATAAGTTACTTATGGGTAGGCGTGTTCCATCGTAGGTCACATCATCGCTTTCCACCAAGCGCGATAGCGGTCATATGCCTGCCTATTATTACACTGCCTGACTGCACGGTTGGTGCGGTGGCTGGACAACTTGCTGCCGTGCAACGTGTTGCGGGTTCGATTCCCGCACGGAACAACTCTTTGTGTGATCCACAAATTGTTGTTCCGGGTCTGGGTGTCATGTGTATGTGAAATTGTATGTTTGTAACCGCACCCACGACACAGGAGAAAATCCTAATGTGGGGCAACGTTTTAAAAAGAAATAAAAAAAGTATTATGAAATACAAAAAAAAAGTGTCTGACACTAATACGGTAGTTTCCAACTAGTCAAATTCAATACTTTTATCCAAACGTCAATAACGATACTTTTCTATGAAATTTTTATGAAAAACTGAGTTATGATGTCATAGTATTTTTGCGTCAAATAGCTTACTTATTTCTTAATAATTAGCAATAAAATAATTATCTAAAACTTAGTGTAGCGGTCGATCTATGAATAAAAGTATAGTTCTTTTTCAATATTTTATTTTATTCAAAGGTCGAATAAATTTATTTTTGACCAATGATACTAACCAATTCTAGCCCTATTCCTAGCTAGAATTCCACACACTCAAAAATAGGTAAATTTTTATTAAAAAAGAAATTAGCAAATTAGTTTTTTTAAACAAAGTTTTCCCATTTTACAGACTATCAACGACAGACCAAGCGAAAATGTTTGCGACGCCCTCTCCTGGTATACGGAAAATAGTTCTAGCCACGAATGTAGCGGAAACATCGATCACTATACCTGATGTAGTCTACGTTATTGATAGCGGAGCTCATAAGGAAAATAGAATCAGAGATGGTACCGGTACGTATGTGATAGTTTGCTAACGATTTGACAGTTGTCTATTCTCCCCCCCCTCCCCCATTCTTAATCCTCAAATCCCCTATCCTTTTTTTCTATAGAACAAGATGGCAAACGAGCAGACGGATTACCTGATGGTAAGCAATCAGCGCCGCTCCTGGACACCCGTAACTCCAGTCGAAATGCGAGTGCGTTGCCGGCCTATTGGGGATAAGAGATTAGGGAGACATTGGAAAGTGGAAAGATTGGGCCTCCGGTAACCTCATTCATACGGCGAAACACAACGCCGTAGTTGTTTCACGTCGGTATTCTGTGAGGCCGTGGTATCACTCCGGTCGAGCCGACCCATTCATGCCGAAGCTTGGCGCTCCCACACTTCTTAAATCCCTAATAACCGGCAACGCACTTATAGTAACTCGTTTTGTTACTACGAGTGTCAATGGGCGGCGCTGATCGCTTACCATTAGATAATCCGTTTGCTCGTTTGCCGACCTATACCATAAAAAAGTTATAGTCAGTGTTACGAGTCAAATATTAATCTACGTATAATCACTATATGTAGTAAAGATTTGAAGCATACATAGGGATATACGGACAGAGAAAGCTATTTTGTTTTGTACCGGAGAAAGCGACTTTGTTTTATACTATGGTACAATCTGTGCCCTAGTTACCGCATTAGGCTCTTCAAAATATGGTAACTCAACATTATGAAGGAAAAAACAAAAATCCTCTACCTATGACTTAGAACATACTAATCACCTGCGGCTCCGCCCGAATGGATGTGGATTTTACACTTTTTCAAGATTTTTTTTAATTTATCTACCTACAAACCTTCTCTGGACTTCCACGAATAATTCAAGCTAGCTAAAAGATTAAGCCAAATCGGTAAAGACATTGTTGAGTTATAATTTATAACATAACAACTGAAAGTGGCGCTGATTTTTATATATAAATTATTTTCAAAACTCAATATCTTTATTGCTTTTCCATAAGTACATTTAAATGTGGTAAGAATTTGTGTGAGATCAATTATGGACCCTGTAGGGCACAGCAAAATAAGGCAATCAGGAGAGAGGAAGCTCTGTTTTAACATCTTAAAATAACATAATTATTTAGTTTGTTTATATTACAGGTACAGCAAGCTTAGAAACAGTTTGGGTGTCTTTAGCTGGTGCTAAACAAAGGGCGGGTCGAGCTGGAAGAGTACAACCAGGTAAATTAATTAAAACTAACAAATCACTACCGTCTTACCGGACCAAACAAGATATAATTGAATTTCGTACAAGTTTTGGGCGTATTGCATACTAGCTACTCTCGTGCGGTTTCACCGCTGCTGCTCGGTTCGATTTAATCGTAGCGTGATGTTTTATAGCCCATAGCACTCAGGAACATTGTAGCTATCTATCAGTGAAAGAATTTTGGCAATCCGACCAGCAGCGGTTCCTAAGATTACCCCCTACATACAAACTTACAAATTTTACCTCTTTATAATATTACTGACTGTATTGCTGACTGTATAGACATATATACTATCATTTGGACAAAAGATCCTAATTTTGTTTGGGTTTTGTTTTAAAAAACCGTTATGTAGGTATCTGAGCTCGCTTGCTACTGCTCTAGTTCTGTGGACGACGATTTCGATAATAAACTGGGTTGCGGTGTCATAAGGAACCGCGGCCTTGGCCTGGAGCAGGATAAGGAACGGGGGTATTTTTAGTCAGTCAGAGCCTGATACCCACTGGGCGAGAGAAGTAATGTAAGGATGTTTGCAATTTAAAAAAAAAGTGTTACCACATAAAAATATCTGAGCTCAAAAAGAAAATCAACGTCCGAATAAAATTTGGTACTTCTTGTAAAAAAAATTCAATGGCAAAATGAAAGAAATTTCAGCTTTATTGCGTTCATATTATTTGGATTATAATACACATTAAATTGTTTATTTCAGGTCACTGTTACAGAATGTATAGCAAAGAAAAAGAGGCTGAATTCGTTCCACACACTACGCCAGAGATATTAAGGTATGCATCGGTCGCTATAACTCTTCAATTCTCATCACACATCATCAGCCTATAAGTGCTCACAGCTGAGCAAAGGACTTTTCTCAAAGGTATAAGGTTTGACCGTTAATCACTACGCTTGCTCAAAGCGAATTCGCGATTTCAAACTTACAATTACAAATTATAAATCCAAGTTTCCTCAGGGTGTTTTCCTTTACCGTATGTCGGTGGTGCCTAAATTATCATAGAAAGTACATATAACTCAGAAAAGTCATATTGATGCTTGGGTGCTATCGAAGCACCCTCATGCATGAAATGCGCCTTAATCTCCGGGCCACCAACATCCTTTAAATACTTTCATCTTATATTCAGAAGTTTCTATCTTCGTTAATTAAAACGGTACTGATACGTCAAGCCAAGATCAAAGGCTTGTCTTTTAAGTGGAACTGAACAACTGTGAATGGTGGCCCGGAGATTAAGGAGCCTGCTTCTCATGCATGAGAGTGTGGGTTCGAAACCTGGCAAGTATCAATGTGACTTTTGTAACGAGTTATATGTACTTTCTACGATTATTTAGACACCACTGACATACGGTAAAGGTAAACATCGTGAGGAAACCTGGACTTATAATTTCTAATTATAAGTTTGAAATCGCTAACCTGCATTGGGCAAGCGTGGTTATTAATGCTCTAACGTTCTCCGTATGAGAAGAGGCCTTTGCTCAGCAATGGGCACTTATAGGCTGATGATGATGATGATGAACAACTGTTTGTGTGATCTACAAATTGTTGTTCCGTGTTTGCATGTAAATTGTATATTTATATTCAAACATTTGTATAGTTATATTTAAACGCACCCACTATATAAGATAAAAACCTAGTATGAGGCAACGTTTCATAAATTACTAATACTGATAATGCGATCCTTATTTCTACAAAGGGTTATTTTTAAAATATGTTTTTTTTTTGCAGAATACCCCTAGTGCAAACAGTATTAGATTGTAAATCGTACGCTCCGAACGAGAAGATCGCTAGTTTCCTATCACAACTCCCGGAACCGCCTTCCGATAAATCTATACGGTTTGCAGTTAACGATCTCGTGGAATTGGGTGAGTTTGGAATTTTTATTTAATCATAATAATAAATTTATAAAACAAAACAATTAGCCATGACGTCATGCTCAACATGACAAAAACAGCAGTAGATTTTTTTTAGGAGAGAGAATTTTTTTTTTAAATTTAAATATCCGTAACCGAAATTATCCGGTATAAAGTAACGGATTATCAGAAATAATTTCATATCCGTATCCATAACCGTATCCAAATAATCATTCCTATATTCCTATCCGAAATTTCATATCCCTAACATCCCTAGTTTGGGCCTAGTTTTTTTTTGACGGGAAAATCATCAAATTACTTCTCCCGGCCAAGTAAGGGCCGGGCAAGGAAGTGTCAGACTCTAACTGACTAAAAACCCCCCTGTTCCTTCTCCTGCTCTGTGCCGAGGTCGCGGTGCCTCATTGCGCTTACCCCGCAACCCTGGCTGAACATCAGCCCTATAGGGCCCCGACTAGTTTGAGCCTAGTTCAGTTACATATTATACATGTACTTTGTTTTGGATTTTAAAATATATATTTTTTAATCTACCAACAAATAAACATTTTATATTTTTATATAAGACTAGCTAGCTACTCGCGATTTCACCCGCTGCTCAGCTCCATTTAATCGTAGCGTGATGTTTTATAGCCTATTGCACTCAGGAACATTGTAGCCATCTATCAGTGATAGATGAATTCACTCGGACCGCATACAGAATAACTTCCATGGTAGATTAAGTTGTTAAATATAGGAAAGTTTATGTAATTTTATTTTATAATTAGTATGTAAGGTTTCTTTGTATTGTTTTTGATTTTATGTATTTCTTTATAATGTTACTGTACTATTGTATTAGGAAACTCCTGTGATAATAGTTGTATGTTGGTGATAAATAAATAAATAAATAAATTTTGGCAATCCGACCAGCGGTTCCAAAGATTACCCCCTACATACAAACTTACTTACCTCTTTATAATATTAGTATAGATTAAAAATAAATACTCCATAACTATTATGATTTTCTTTTTTCAGGAGCCCTAACCTCCTCGGAACGGTTAACACGACTAGGTACGATCCTGTCGTCTGTGTCCCTCCACCCCCGACTAGCTCTGAGCGTGCTGCAGTCTGCAATACTTGGCAACGTGGTGGCCGCTACATACATGGCGGCCCATTGCTCGACGCATACCGAGCTGTTCTGCAACGCGGCGGATAGAAGGGATGGTAAGTCTTCTATATTTCATCATCACATCATCAGCCTATAAGTGCCCACTACTGAGCACACGGATAAGGTTTTGATCATTAATCACCACGCTTGCTCAATGCGGGTTGGCGATTTCAAACTTATATTTAGTAATTATAAGTCCAGGTTTCCTCACGATGTTTACCTTCGCCGTATGTCAGTGGTGTCTAAATAACTCGGAAAAAGTCACATTGGTACTTGCCATGTTTCGAACCCGCACCCTCATGCATGAGAAGCGGACGCTTTAACCTCTGAGCCACCACGACAATATCAGCCTATAATTGCACACTTGTTTATGAGATAAGACGGCTAACGAGCAAACTGATTACCTGATGGTAAGCAATCAGCGCCGCCCATAGACACCCGCAACAACGGAGGAGCTAAGAGTGCGTTGCCAACCTTTTGGGGGTTAGGGATTGGGGAGGGAAAAGATTGGGCTTCTGGTAACCTCACTGACACGGCGAAACACAACGCTGTAATTGTTTCACGTTAGTTTTCTGCGAGGCCATGGTGATTAATGCTCATATTATTCTTGTCGAACCATAGCTAGCTGCTGAGCATAGGCCTCTTTTCACACTTCACAACTTCAAGAAATGACATTCGCCCATATATCGATTGTATTATGTTTGATATATTTACTAATAGATGACGCTACTTGTAACAATAAATGTGATTTCGTTACAATTAACAAACATTACCTTTTTATAATAGAAATTCGCGAGATAAAACGCAGTTACAGTCCGACATCAGACTACGGCGCCCTCTACTGGATACAAGAAGAGTTCGACAGAATATCACAGGAAGGTGACAGGGAATCTTCTGATAAATACTGCGAGAAGTACGGCCTAAGAGGGGACCGACTGGCGTATATTAGATGTAAGTTTATATTGAAACTAGCTACTGCCGCGGCACACACACACACACACACACACACACACACACACACACACACACACACACACACACACACACACACACACACACACACACACACACACACACACACACACACACACACACACACACACACACACACACACACACATACACACAAACACACACACACACACACACACACACACACACACACACACACACACACACACACACACACTATTCCATCTAAAGGTTGCCTGGAAGAAATGGCCTTGTGAGATAATTTGAGAATAGACCACGCCCATTTGTAATCACACCAGGTTATTCTTATGAATAGTCATTTTCTTTGTAGGATTCCGTACATCATTAATATTAAAAACCAACAACTATTTCTCTTTCAGCCCTCGCCTACCTCCATTTGGAACAGATTCTCAACACCTCCATAATAGCACCCACAACAGAAGCAGAAGAACTGAACCGCTTCTCCGACATAGAAGAGTTGCTATGTGCCACACTGATCTCTGGTGCCGACGCGCTACTTACAACGAAGAAGCAAGTCAAGACTAAAGGGAAATTGAAGACTGTTGTTGATGTTGTTACTAGGTTAGTTATACATAATTATACAGTGTTTTAGGTTGAACGAGGGATATATCCATGGACCCAATTTTAAAACCACTTTTTCACATAAAACCAATAATGTTAAGTGTGGGAGAGCCATGTTTCGGCACGAATGGGTCGGCTCGACCGGAGTGATACCACGGCCTCACAGAAAACCGGCGTGAAATAACCACTGCGTTGTGTTTCGCCGTGTGAGTCAGGAGTTACCGGAGGCCCAGTCCTTCCCCTTCCCCAATCCCTCCTCAATCCCTAAATCTCCAAATCCCTAATCCCTAAAAGGTCGGCAACGCACTCGTAACTCCTCCGTTGCGAGTGTCCATGGGCGGCGCTGATTGCTTACCATCAGGTAATCCGTCTGCTCGTTTGCCGACCTACTACATAAAAAAAATGTAAAATAAAAATGTTTACATCTAAATGCACAATTTTGGTTGGCGCGGTGGCTGGGCAACTGGCTGCCGCGCAACGCGTCGCGGGTTCGATTTCCGCACGGAACAACTCTTTGTGTGTATGTGAATTTGTATGTTTGTAAACGCACCCACGACACAGGAGAATATCCTAATGAAATGTAATGGGGCAACGTTTTTTACTAAATAAAAAGAAAAAAAATCTAACTGCAATTTGTATGGGGAAATAAATTTTATTTTTGAGATTCGGATTCGGATATTGGTCCCATGGTTAATGTCGTTGTAATTTTTCGATACTAAATTCATACAACCGTATTGAATTTGACTGTCGTATTAATATTATTGTCTTAGTGGCCCGGAAGTTAAAAAGCCCGCTTCTCATGCATGAGGGTGTGGGTTCGAAACCTAGCAAGTACCAATGTGATTTTTCCGAGTTATATGTACTTTCTACGATTATTTAGACACCACTGACATACGGTGAAGGTAAACATCGTGAGGAAACCTGGACTTATAATTTCTAATTATAAGTTTGAAATCGCCAACCCGCATTGAGCAAGCGTGGTTATTAATGCTCTAACGTTCTCCGTATGAGAAGAGGCCTTTGCTCAGCAGTGGCGACTTATAGGCTGATGATGATGATGATGATGATGATTAATATTATCATTTCATTCCACAGTACAGGCGACCGTGCTCACATAGGAACAGAAAGCGTGAACTACAATATATCCAAACAGTCTCCTTCGCGAACGCATTTGCTGGCGTACTTTGGAGGCACCCATTCTGTAGAGAGACGGGCTCTGGTCGTATATAGAACTTGCTTGGTACCACCTCATACGCCTCTACTGTTCTGCATCGGAGATATTCGTAAGGTAAGAGCTTTTTATTCTTTTCACGAATTCAGTATCGCCTTTAAGTTTAATAGAGACAGATTTTTTTCTTGCCAAATAACTCGTAACTTACTTTTAAATGAGAGCTATGCTTAGGTACGAATGGGTCGTCTCGACCCGAGCGATCTTCACAGAAAACCGGTGTGAAACAACTACTTAAAACGTTGTGTTTCGCCGTGTGAGTGAGGTTACCGAAGACCCTATCCTCTCCATCCCACATCCCCAAATCTCCAGATCCCTAATCCCCAAAAGGTCGGCAACGCACTCGTAACTCCTCTGTTGTTGCGGGTATAAAAAAAACTCATCATTCTCAGCCTATAAGTGCCCACTGCTGACCAAATGTCTCTTCTCATACGGAGAACGTTTGAGCATTAATCACTACGCTTGCTCAATGCGATCTCGGAATTGTCAGATAAATGGCACTGATGAATAAAACCGTTGCTGTCACTGTCTTATACAAACATTCTGACGCGACAGCATCATAATTATTCCCCAGCTAACTTTTATCTAACTATTGAAAAATCAGCCCTAAATTTATTTATTTATTTATTTAAACTTCATGCACACTGGGTACATAGGCGGACTTAATGCCTTAGGCATTTTCTACCAGTCGAGCCTTGGGTGATGCAGAGATGAGCCAATGGTCGGTGCAAGAAGCAAGCAAACAGACTTAAATTTAAATGAGTGAAGACGAGATAGATACAAATATATGTGCAAATATATATGTGCAAACCATTTACATACAAGTTACAATATAATATATTGTAACTTGTAAATCAGATTAATAAATACTCTTGTTTTTTTGTTTTCGACAGGAAGAAAACGGAGACATCACTCTGCTGACCTTGCCCAAGCATCATCTACAGATTCGAGTTCCAACCAGGTAAATATCAATTTTACTCGCTACCCTAGTGATGAAAATCGGGTGTGGGAGAGCCATGCTGCGGCACGAATGGGTCGGCTCGACTGCAATGATACCACGGCCTCACAGAAAACAGACGTGAAATAACCACAGCGGTGTGTTTCGCCGTGTGAGTGAGGTTACAGGAGGCCCAATCCCTAAGTCTCCAAAACATCAGCAATTGCGGTTGTCCATGGCGTTGATTACTTACTACCAGGTAATCCGTCAACTCGTTGACCATCTTATCACATAAAAAATGACCTTTACATAGAAATTATATTATTTGCCTACACGCGTACCTACGTAGCCGAGTCTTCCCGGAATGTTGTTATATAATGTAAGTATATTGTAAATAGGTTGGTAAATAAGAAATAAATACACGTTATTACTGCTCTTAGGTACGTAATATATTACCATTGGTAATTACCTAATAAAAAAAAGATTACCATTTATTTAGCTCTAGCTTTTGCCCCGCAATTCCGTTCTCGTGGGATAGTATCTTCCTGCAGATTTTTGGTATAAGAACTATCCCCTGTCCTTTCTCGAGTTCCAAACTATGTCTGTACCAAATTTCACAAAAATCGGTACAGTAGTTTAGGCGTGAAGAAAAGATAGACAGACAGACAGAGTTACTTTCGCATTTATAATATTAATTTGGATTAACCACGCCACTCAATGCTCCAAAGATGTGTATAAAAAAGACAACGAAACAAACTAAAAACCCCAAAAATAAAAGAATAACATCGTATTTCATTTTGTTTAAATCAATAATAAACAATACTTAATATCGACTTGGCACGCGAGGTTGTCGACATGTGGGAAGTGGATTCGGCCATCATTGTACCGATAGTCGTGTCAGCCAATGGCTTAATAGGTAAGAGCCTCGACCAACACCTTAGGAGGCTCTCGTTAGGCGGCTGGATCAAGGGCTTAATTCAGAAAGTGGTACTCCTGGATACGGCTTTCTTTCTCTGGAGCCTTGACCGCCGTTAGCTAGGAGCCTGTGCCCGATACCGGTGGGAAACTATTTTTTATATTTTAAAATGTTTTTTTTTATTTATTATTCAGAAATACTTAACTATGTAATTTATATTTTTATGTGCTAAACAAAACTTAGAAGAAAAAATAAAAAAAAATATTACACTTTTCACTAGTTTAATAATTGTATTGTTTTTTTTTTATTCTAGTGTAACTACATATTTTTCTTAAAGAAATTGAGACGAGAAACTGCCTAAATTTTGTATACCTACGTAAATGTATTTCTTTCTCCCTTATTTCCGTCATTCTATATACAAAAACACATTTATCTATAACTACATGAGGAAAATGTAGGGGATTTCCTTAGTAACTCGAATTATAACGGGTAACCTCGAAACGTGATATCGATTTCGAAGAAAAGTCGATAGTACTTTGTTTACGGTTCGAAATCTTATTATAATAGGTCATAACTGCTCTGTGCAACTTTAATAGGTTGATTAGACCGATTAATACTGTAATAAAATTCTGTTTCTTTTTTGTCAAATCAACTTCTCACGCTCAGGGTGAGGCGAGAGGGAGTGTCAGACTCTTACTGATTAAAAACCCCCCGTTCCTTCTTCTGATTTAGGCCAAGGTCGCGGTGCCTGATTACGCTTGACCCGCAAACCCGGTTAAGCACTTGCTATGTTGGGCCTTATCTGTGACGGTCTATTGGCTCTGGGGACCAAACGAAAATGGAGAAGTTTCCTTCTTTCATTTCTACCTTGAACCATTTCCCTAAAATGAATATTATTTTACTACGATTCCGTCACTTAATTACGCGAATACTGTCGATAATAGTCCTAAAAAAAGTAGACCTTGTATTTTCCTATCGTTTACCTTACTCCAGTTTTAAAAAATTGACGTTATTTTTGCCATTTTTGGCGTACGTGATCGTGTACCCACATTCGACATCTTTCGTATTCCGGTTTCTCGATGTGACGTTGTTTAGCGCAGCGTCATACATTCTGTTCTGTTGATTTTATTTCAAAACAAATATTAATTAATGGACTTTGGTATTTAACGAAACGTCATGTTTGTCACGTAAAGTTTCCTCAAAGACTTTGGCAGATGATTTGGCCTTTAATTCATCAATCCCCAAGCGAATGCGGGCATTCACGTACCTGTAGTCTTACTGTTGTGTCTAGAATTACCTCGAGGAGGTCAAAGTAAAGTATTTTATGTGTTACTGACATTACACATTTCAAAGAGGGAGGCGGACCGCGTTATTTGGCTATCCTCCTCCTCAGGCGCGTAAGGGCCTAGGCGTAGGCAGTAAGGGTAGCTCGCCGCCCGACCAGAACCAGACTTTTAGAATACGGCGCGTAGCGTTCCGGGCAAACAACCAATAGACCACCTTAGACGGGGCCCTAAAGGCTGATGTTGGGGTAAGCGCAATGCGTCACTGCGACTTCGGCTTAGAGCAGGAGAAGGAACGATGACTGATGATTTCCCCTCATAAAAAAACATAAAACATTTGTTGTGTATCCGAGCAGTAATGTGTTTCGTTGTGCAATTAACTTTAAGTACACTGAATCGCAAAATGTATTGGTATGCGCATAACTCAACAACACCTTTAGGTACCAATTTTGCCAATTTTTTTTGCGTTTGTTGAACACCCGAGTGTACCTGGGGCGGGCCGCTAGTATCACTTCAAAGTATAAAACATAATCTCTTCCTGCTATCTGTCTCTATGTATGCTTAGATCCTTAAAACTATGTGACAGATTTTGATGTGTTTTTTTAATAAATTGAATAGGTAGTTTCAGATGCAGTTTGAGAAGTGTACAATTTATAACGGTTTACTGACTAATTTGCGAGCAGTAAGCTAGTATTATATTAATGACCTTTTTATAATTAGGACTCGGAACCATAGCCCGGATATCTGTAACTCTTTTCCGAAACCAAATCAAAAAAACCAATAATAATTTGTGCCTACTTTTACCAAAAAAAACCTATCAAAAATTACCCTAGTAAACTCGACCAATAAGTTTAGTCAATCAAAATTACCCAGGATAAGCGGTGGTAAATATTTATAGTATTTCTATCAGCTGTTTACTTACGGGTAAATACCCGAATATTCCCAATTACGATAAGTGTAACATGGGCAAACCCGAACTCGAGGAAAAAGTTCGATAAAAAATGTTTTCTTTTTTTTGCTTTAATGGCTGACGACATACCTTGTTGTCGACATAGTAGGTAATGTCAATGTCAAATTCAAAACGTAAATTTTTTATTTTTTTATTTTCTTATGTGATAGGGCGGCAAGCAAGCAGGTGCTATAGGATTACCAGATGGTTTAAGCACTCGGGTCTTTTGGGGGCTTAAGGGTTGGGGAGGGGATTGATGGAGCCTCCAGTAACCTCACCCACACGGAGAAACAATGCTATGATTGTTTTTTATGTAATAAATGGTTATGGTTGGTAAACGAGCAGACTTATTACCGGATGGTAAGCAATCACCGCCGCCCATGGACACCCGCAACGGAGGAGTTACGAGTGCGTTTTAGTGGAGATTTAGGGATTGGGAGGGGAAGGATTGGGCCTCCGGTAACCACACTCAGACGGTGAAACACAACGCTGTGTTTGTTTCACGCCGGTTTTCTAAAGTTCTAGATCTCAATTTCCCATTCGAGCCGACTCATTCGTGCCGAAGCATGACTACGTCACACTTTATTTTTACCGACTTCAAAAAAAGGAGGGGGTAGGTACTATGTTCGGCTCATTGTTTTTTTTTAGTTTTTTGCAAAAACGTTTACAAATATATACAGAAGGATATATGGAATTTACATAGTCAGGCCATAAATACTGTTACAATTAAAAATAAACAACTTATTACATTTGAATTTGGAATCTGTCATTTTTACATAATTTTTCATTGTGTTTTCTTATTTTGGCGCCAATAAATTGTTCAATATTTTGCGATATTAAAATGGAGTGGGGTGATAAAGAGAACCGAATCGCTGTGATACACAAAGTGGGTATGGAGACAAATGCAATTTTTAAAACTCTCCACACGCTTGGCATTAGTCAAATGTTTGTGTACCGGGCTATTAATAGGTACAATGAGACCTCCTCTGTTTGTGACAGAAAAAGATCTGGCCGTCCACGTAGTGTTCGTACGAAAATGGTGGTCAAAGCAGTAAGGGAAAGAATTCGAAGAAATCCTGTCCGAAAGCAAAAGATTTTATCTCGGGAGATGAAGATAGCACCTAGAACCATGTCGCGTATTTTAAAAGACGACTTAGGACTTACATCCTGTAAGAGACGCACTGGACATTTTTTAAATGATAATTTGAAAAAGAATAGGGTGATAAAATTTAAACAACTAACGAAGCGGTACGCAAAGGGAGGTCACAGAAAAATTTTGTTTGCGGATGAGATTTTTTTTACAATTGAGCAACACTATTATTATACAGTTATTACTGTATATATTATGCTACAAGCGAAATAATTTGTAATTTATTAATATTAAAACATTTATCTACAAGTTTATGCTCTAACGTAGTGTAGTTTAAGTTTGAAATAAGTATTTACGTAGGTATGTATAAAATAGTTATGTCTCATAATTTGTTATAATTTAATTGTTTATTATTAAGTAAGTTTGTTTCGATAGTTTGGTATAAAGTTTATTTTAGTCTAAGTTTAGTTTAAGGTCTTATCTGTCGCATTAGGGAAAACCCTGTAAAGATAGAATAAGTTTTGATAAATAAATAAATAAATAAACACTTTAACAAAAAAGAAATGACCGTATTTATGCTTAAAGCTCTAAGGAAGCTTCTCAATTAGTCGACAGAGTGCAACGTGGGCTTTATCCGACTTCAGTGATGGTTTGGTGGGGTGTTAACTATGAAGGAGTAACTGAGCCATACTTTTGCGAAAAAGGTATCAAAACATAGATACAAGTGTATCAAAATACCATTCTTGAGAAGGTAGTTAAGCCCCTTAACAACACCATGTTCAATAACCAACAATGGTCCTTCCAGCAAGACTCAGCGCCGGGTCATAAAGCTCGGTCTACGCAGTCTTGGTTGGAAACGAACGTTTCCGACTTCATCTGAGCTGAAGACTAGCCGTCGTCTAGTCCCGATCTTAAACCGCTGGATTATGATTTATGGTCAGTTTTAGAGAGTAGGGCTTGCTCTAAACGTCATGATAATTTGGACTCCCTAAAACAATCCATACGATTGGCAGTGAAGAATTTTCCCATGGAAAGAGTGCGTGCTTCTATTGATAACTGGCCTCACCGTTAAAGTCTGTATTGCAGCCAATGGAGACCACTTCGAATAAGCTTTTTATGTTTTAAATTGTTTTATATTTATGTATTAAACTTACATACTGTAAAAGTAATAAATGTTATTTGCAACAGAAAAAATACTTTTTTTATTTGTAACAGTTTTTATGGCTAGACTAGGTATATACAGGATACATAGAAGCGCTGCATTTATAAGAAAGTGTCAGTTAGACAGCCAGTCGGAAATACAGAGAAAGACATATTCAAGGAGCCGATTCTGGTGCTCAATTACAACAACTTTTTCCATTTAAATTTTAATGTAACCATTATAAGGTCGATTTTCCTTTACACATAATAACCTGTTTCATTTTATTGTTCCAGCCAAGCTGAAAGCCTGTTAAAACTGCGAGAAATGCTCTGGAAGACATTCAAATACCACATAGAGAGAGACATACAAACTCTCGACTATAACGACAACGAAATAACGTCTAAATTCAAAGTGCGGCTTGTCAAAACTATTGGGAGAGTTCTCGTAGAAGCTCATAGGCAATATATTGAGGGAAAATCTATGTTCGACGAGATTGGAGATGTTGAAAATAGATAAAAATAAAATTAAAATACATTTTCTGGTTTTATTTTTCTTATCAAAGGCTTTCTTTATCTGTTATCGTGATCATCAACCTATAGGTACCCACTGGTGAGCAAAGGCCTCTGTTGGAAAGATATAGGGACAAAGAAAGCGACTTTATTTTATACTAGGTATGTAGTGATGAATAATTTTCAATATGAATATACATTATATACCTATATCTTTTTTATGGTATAGGTCAGCAAACGGAGGAGTTACGAGTGCGTTGCCGAACTTTTAGGGATTAGGGTTTCGGAGATTTAGGGATTGGGAGGGATCGGGGGAGGGGAAGGATTGAGCTTCCGGTAACCTCACTCACACGACGAAACACAACGCTGTGGTTGTTTCACGCCGGTTTTCTGTGAGGCCGTGGTGTCACTCCGGTCGAGCCGACCCATTCGTGGCGAAGCTTGGCTCTTCTACACTGAAATTAAATCTTCAATGTGACCATTATAAGGTCGATTTTCATTTACATCATAATAACCTCTTTATTTCGTTGTTCCAGCCAAGCTGAAAGCCTGTTAAAACTGCGAGAAATGCTATTAAACCTATTTTAATATCCAACAAATATTAAAATAGGTCCTTACGTACCTAATCTAGGAATACCCAATTGGTTAAAAATCACTTTACGCAGGAAAACCCTAGGTAAAAACGTATTTCCCGATACTGCAATCATGCAGGTTAATACTTTCTATGAAAAAACCCAATCGGTTTTAGAACTCAACTGATTTGATACGCTACTTACGGTACCTACGCCAATAACAATAGCCTATTGTGCATTTACATTTACTACATTTAGGCGCCGTATCAGTCGTGGTTAACGCGCCCGCTTCGCGTACCTACATGAGGGTGCTAATTCGAAACCTAGCGAGTATCTACCAAAGGGACCTTTTCAGAGTTATATGTAGCTACTTTCTAAGATTAATTAGACACCACTGACATAAGATGAAGGAAAACATCGTGCGGAAAACTAGGGAAGAGAGTGGCAGGAATGTGTGACTAGAGTGTCATAGAAAACTGGAGTGTCGGTACTAAGTGAGAGGAATTTGAAGGCAATCTCGCGTGTCGGAGCGATCATTTTCACGCCCCAGCCGTCTTAACGTCGCGTCGTCGGGGCATCGCGCGGCCCTTGCTCGTCGACCGAAGACCCGCGAGCCCAATTCAATGCCCGCCGGAGAAACCATTTTGATGACTTTTCCCCTCAAAAAAACATATAGGTACCTACCTACTTGCTTATATAAATTAATAAGAACTCACTCGTACCTACGTAATATAATACACTTCGTACCTACGTAATATAATACTCTCACTTAGTAAAAGGTACTTTACTCATTCTTATGACGTTCATCTATCTCATCATATTTTTAAGAAATATATTTAGGTATTACCTACCTACTACCTACGCGTTATTTTAATAAGTAACAAATTGGGTAGTTTCCTAGGTCAAAATAAATTATTTCGACGTTTTAATACGATAAAATATTGAAAAATTACTATACTTTTACTTATCGATCGATCGATACACTAAGTTTTAGATATTTTTTAGCTATTTTTTAAAAAATAAGTAAGCTATTTGACGCAAAAATGATATGACGTCATAATTCAATGTTTCATACAATTTTCATAGAAAAGTATCGTTTTTGACGTTTGGATAAAAGTATTGAATTTGACTAGTTGGAAACAACCGTAATACGTAAGTGAAAGATTATGACATGCATCTAAGACTGTGCCTGTGAAACCCCAGTTTCTAGAAATTCAATACTTACCTATAACACAGATTATAGAACAAAGGCAGATAGACCGTGCAGCGGTGCAGAACACAAAAGTGAAGCCACCAAAGCAAATACAAATAATTCAAAATTGAGTCAAATCGTAAATCTGTGACCTATAACTATTCTATCAGGATCTGTAAAGGAACGAAATTGCGATAATGTTGCGATATGTAGGTATGTTATAATAGGTACCTACACCTTGCCTAGTAGCTATGTAATTATCTAAGGAGTCTGTGCACGCAGTCCAACTACCATTTTTCGATAGGAAAAATATTACGGGAGGCCCACGGAGTAAGAACAAAGAGGAGACGGCCTAAACAACTCGGCCCTGTGACACAAGTCGGCCCTCACGTCATCAAGGTGGGCGTGGCTTACGTCAGTGTAATGTGGTCGTTCGTACTGTGCACAACTCCGATAAAGTATTCATTTTACTTGTGACAGAAGAAAACAAAATGAAGTATTGTATTTTATCTTATAAAAACTACTATGATAAACGTTACGGTACTACTGATGGCATCACTTCTCATGTGGAACTTATTTTATTCGAAATTTATTAAAATAGTTCTAGCAAAGTCTCTTATTGTCAGTGTTTCCAATTATCAATCTACGCGACACTAGATGGCGACACTTTGTATCATAGGAACTAAATTTTTATAGCTACGCATAGTTCAGTATTAATATATTTTAATGATTGTTTGTATAGTAATTTGCTCAACATACATTCCTAAAGATCCTTCAATCTCCAAAATATTATTTTTGTAATGTTTATATTATTTTACAAATAGCCAGCCATCTATTGCCAAGTAGTAAAACAAACATAAAGACATTATTGTTCCAAAATATTGTTGAGTTATTGTTTTGTTTTTATATTTTCCAAAATATTATTGTGTTGTTGAGTGAAGGTTTAATTCCGAGCAAGGGGACCAAATATAGGCGAACGCATGATGCAAATCAAGTGGCAATATTAAGACAATTGCTGCTACATTATTAGAAGGTGGTAGGGCCGTACATCTGCATTAACATTGCCATTAAATGTACAGGTGATTGAAACTCCAAAAGTTCTGCGGATAACGTCAATTATTTTATGGTTTGAGTGCACAATCGTGACAAAAAAAAAATCAATAGAGGCAATTAATCAGTTAATGTAAAATTTACGCGGTACTCGACTGCTTTTTGGTTTTTGAATTTACTTTTTGCAAATAGGCCATTTACCGTATTATATGTAAAAATCAAGACGAAGCCGGCATTATCTATCTGACTACTCTAAGAAAATACCGAAACAAACTCAGAAGTCCGCCTCTTTTCAAGTCCAGACAATATGAAAAATAATAGGTAATATAATTTACGAAAGCCGTGCAAATAGCCAGCTATCAGTAAGGCATCAGCCTGTTGGTAGCCATAGTATACGAGTTTCTCCCCTTATAAAAGAAAAAGATGTTACAATAAAGTGGCTTTGATGAATGTATAATGATCGTCATTCACCAATAATATTATATAGTATTAAAAATTACAACCCCCCGGTAATTCTGAGTACGACCCTGATGCATTATGCATTTAGTGACATCTATTGCGAAATAGTTACATAACTACAAAACGAATTCATTTGAACGAGCAAGTAGTTTTGCTATAGACCGGCAGATGGCAAATAAAAAAGTGGGCGGAGTCTAACACCCCCTCACCCCGCAAAATATCACGCGGTGTTTCTTAGGGAAATCTAGTTATAACATCTCCTCTTTGTTCTTACTCCGTGGGGAGGCCCAATCCTTCCTACCCTGCCCAATCCTTCTTACCCTCCCCAAGCCCTTAATATCCGAAACCCAAACATCCAAAAGGATGGCGACGCGCTTGTGACGCATCGAGTTTTTCGGATTTCCATGGGCGGCGCCGATTACCTACCTACCATCAGGTAATCCGTACACTCTGGTTTGCTGACCCATCACATTAAAAAAGGAGCATAATTAAATATAAATAAATATCTAACCAATTTCGACTCGTCATTGGGTTCCAAATTCCCGATACTTACTGCACGTCACTTGTAAACACCTCGGACTTTGAACAGTTTTCAATTTGTTTTTAAGTTTTAATGTCCAATTAGTAATGACTAACATTTGTTATTTTATCCCATTAAATAAATAGCATATTAATGTAAATATTGTATATCATTCTCAAGAATCAATTTGTAAATATACGTAAATGAATATTACCTATCATTTTTCTAAGAAAATAATAGTGGTGCGACAAAACGTACGTAATTAGGTACGCCCACGCCACGGTGTTGCCGACTCATAATGTTTTCCCCTTTTATTGGGTAATTGTTTTTAGACTACATATTTTTATTTCTAATTAAAATTTATAGACGCCCAGGATCGTATCACACCTTCGATCTGTGAAAAGATAAGCAAATTCCGTTGACAACATTATTTTCCTTCTTAAGTTTGTGAATCTTTTTCCAAAATTAAATACTGTTTGTATGATTATGACGAATGCACTGTTCTCACATAATCGAACCAACTTAATAATGTTAAAAAATCTGTATGTTAAAACGAGTAGCCATGGAGTTTCTTGGCCGTTCTTCTCCATAAGAATGAGCAAATAGCTTCACTAAGAGGACTGACCAAGAAACTGATACCTGTTATGTTTAAGCTTTGTTTGACGTTCAAAAGTGCCTGTAAGGTTCTAATTGAAATAAATTATATTGATTTTTGACTTTTGAATGTCATACAGAAGACGAAACATCCTTTATGTTGAAAAATCTATTTTGAGTATAATATTATATTGCGGTTTATTTTCTAGTATGTATATTTGATCCCAATTCCAATGAAACTAATAATACAACTAGCGGAAAACTAATACTAATAAACATACGCATTATCATTATCGTTACCTATTTGCCTTTCAATTGTGGTAAATCGAGATACAATAGGATGAAATAGGTCCGCGAATGCCAGCGTTTGCTCGGGGTTTAATAAACTATAATTTATTATTAAATCTAACATTTATCTTTATAAAACCAAGTTCGACCATTTAATATTTATTTTGCACGAAACAAAATAAAGTTAATTTAATTTTAGACCTTCGCGTCATTATGACGTCATCATAAAGTGGTCTGACTAGTAAAACGATAGACAGAATGGATATTGACATCGAGTGACGTGAATTATAGGTACATAATATTATTACGTTAGCATTGCTCATTTTCTTAACACAAGTCAGCATTTAAAACTAATCCAATACTTATATTAGAATTGATTTTTGATTTTACAGGACGTAAGCTAAAGT